TCAGCATCAGCGCATCAGCATCACCTCATCAGCATCAGCGCATCAGCATCAGCATCAGCATCATCATCAGCATCAGCATCAGCATCAGCATCATCATCAGCATCAGCATTAGCATCATGCATCAGCATCAGCGCATCAGCATCAGCGCATCAGCATCAGCGCATCAGCGCATCAGCATCAGCATCAGCATCAGCATCAGCGCATCAGCATCAGCATGAGCATCAGCATCAGCATCAGCATCAGCATCAGCGCATCAGCATCAGCGCATCAGCATCAGCGCATCTTCATCAGCATCAGCATCAGCATCAGCATCAGCATCAGCGCATCAGCATCAGCATCAGCATCAGCGCATCAGCATCAGCGCATCAGCATCAGCATCAGCATCAGCGCATCAGCATCAGCGCATCAGCATCAGCATCAGCGCATCAGCATCAGCGCATCAGCATCAGCATCAGCATCAGCGCATCAGCATCAGCATCAGCGCATCAGCATCAGCATCAGCATTAGCATCAGCATCAGCATCATCATTAGCATCAGCATTAACATCATGCATCAGCATCAGCGCATCAGCATCAGCGCATCAGCGCATCAGCATCAGCATCAGCGCATCAGCATCAGCGCATCAGCATCAGCGCATCAGCATCAGCGCATCAGCATCAGCATCAGCATCAGCATCAGCATCAGCGCATCAGCATCAGCATCAGCATCAGCTTCAGCATCAGCATGTTCAGGTGCATGTGCTCGTGCATCTGCTCCCCCATCTCCCTTTTCCCCCGTCTGCCAAGCGTCTTCCCTCTCAATCCTGCACCCCGCCCTCTCCCCGTGCATCCTCCCTCAAGGCGGGCTGCTACTGGGGCGAACGGTGGCGCTGCTGGGGGCGATGGCGGTGGGGACGAGCATGGCGGCGAGGCAGGGCGCGGTGCCCATGGCGGCCCACCAGCTCGCCCTGCAGCTCTGCCTCGCCGCCTCCCTCCTCTCTGACTCCGTTGCCCTCGCTGCTCAGGTCCGCCCAGGTGGATCTTCAGGTGGTTTTCCAGGTGATTTTCAGGAAATTTTCAATGTGAGGATTGATTTTGTGCGCACATTTGTTCTCACGTAATAGTTTCTTTGTTCCTGTGTGCGTTCCCTCGTGTCCATGCATGTGCTTATGTGTGATGGCATGTGTGATGGCATGTGTGATGGCATGTGTGATGGCATGTGTGGCATCATGTTCATCAGACCCTATTGGCATCAGCCTTTGCACGGAAGGACACGGCCATGGTGCGAGCCATCATGCTGCGATCGCTGCAGGTGAGAGGGCACAGCAAGCCACCACATGCTGCACGCACCACATGCTGCACGCACCACATGCACGCACCACATGCTGCACGCACCACATGCTGCACGCACCACATGCTGCACGCACCACATGCTGCACGCACCACATGCTGCACGCACCACATGCTGCACGCACCACATGCTGCACGCACCACATGCTGCACGCACCACATGCTGCACGCACCACATGCTGCTGCACGCACCACATGCTGCACGCACCACATGCTGCACGCACCACATGCTGCTGCACGCACCACATGCTGCACGCACCACATGCTGCACGCACCACATGCTGCACGCACCACATGCTGCACGCACCACATGCTGCTGCACGCACCACATGCTGCACGCACCACATGCTGCTGCACGCACCACATGCTGCACGCACCACATGCTGCACGCACCACATGCTGCACGCACCACATGCTGCACGCACCACATGCTGCTGCACGCACCACATGCTGCACGCACCACATGCTGCACGCACCACATGCTGCTGCACGCACCACATGCTGCACGCACCACATGCTGCTGCACGCACCACATGCTGCACGCACCACATGCTGCTGCACGCACCACATGCTGCACGCACCACATGCTGCACGCACCACATGCTGCACGCACCACATGCTGCACGCACCACATGCTGCTGCACGCACCACATGCTGCTGCACGCACCACATGCTGCACGCACCACATGCTGCTGCACGCACCACATGCTGCACGCACCACATGCTGCTGCACGCACCACATGCTGCACGCACCACATGCTGCACGCACCACATGCTGCTGCACGCACCACATGCTGCACGCACCACATGCTGCTGCACGCACCACATGCTGCACGCACCACATGCTGCACGCACCACATGCTGCTGCACGCACCACATGCTGCACGCACCACATGCTGCTGCACGCACCACATGCTGCGCCGTGAATGCCAGCACCTTGGCCCTCGCCGCTCACAGCATTGCGTCGTCACTCACTCCATCGCTGCCATCCATGGCTACCCATGCCCTGCTATCACCTCATTCACGGCGCTCTCCCTGCATCAACCTCGTCCCGGTACTTCATCCATGCCTCTCACGCGTGCTACCCCATCCCCGCCTTCCCTGCGCACATGGCAGATAGGGCTGGGCATGGGGGCGGTGATGGGAGTGGTGCTCTCGCTGTCAGCACAGCTACTCCCGGCGCTCTTCACCTCTGATGACCGTGTGCTGCTGCAAGCTGTCGCCCTCATGCCCGTGAGACGTCTCCCCCTTAGCCCTCCTCGCACCGTTTCCAGTCGTCACCTCACCACCGCCAACCTCCACTTACTCTTGCTCACACACTTGCTGTGCTGCCCCCTCCTCGCCCCGTGCTGCAGTTTGCAGCAGCGATGCAGCCGATGGCGAGCATGGCGTTTGTGTTTGACGGGCTGCACTACGGCGCCACTGACTTCGCCTTTGCTGCCCTCGCCATGGTACCCCGCCCCATGCCCCCTGCTCCATGCCCTCCGCCCCATGCCCCCTGCTCCATGCCCTCCGCCCCATGCCCCCTGCTCCATGCCCTCCGCCCCATGCCCCCTGCTCCATGCCCTCCGCCCCATGCCCCCTGCTCCATGCCCTCCGCCCCATGCCCCCTGCTCCATGCCCTCCGCCCCATGCCCCCTGCTCCATGCCCTCCGCCCCATGCCCCCTGCTCCATGCCCTCCGCCCCATGCCCCCTGCTCCATGCCCTCCGCCCCATGCCCCCTGCTCCATGCCCTCCGCCCCATGCCCCCTGCTCCATGCCCTTCGCCCCATGCTCCCTGCTGTGTGCACTCGCGACCTTGTGAAATCCCGCTCGACGTACCTTTCGTCTGGCTCAGTGCCACATTTGCCCCGGCGTCCTCTGCCCACTGACCCCCCTGCCCTGCGCGCGCGAGCAGATGGCGCTGGCGCCTGCAGCAGCGGCGGTGCTGGTGTATGCACCGAGCGAGTGGGGAGTGGAGGGTGTGTGGATCGGCCTCTCTCTCCTCATGGCTGCCCGCATGTTCGCCGGCTTCCTCAGGTCAGCCACCACTTGCTTGCTTTGCTCCATCAATGGTTCGCTCCACCCCATGATTTGCCCCCCCCCGCCCCCCATGCCTTACACCCTCCATGCCTTACACCCCCCATGCCTTACACCCCCCATGCCTTACACCCTCCATGCCTTACACCCCCCATGCCTTACACCCCCCATGCCTTACACCCTCCATGCCTTACACCCTCCATGCCTTACACCCCCCATGCCTTACACCTCCCATGCCTTACACCCCCCATGCCTTACACCCTCCATGCCTTACACCTCCCATGCCTTATGCCCTCCCTGCGGTGGCGGCAACGGTATGCAGAGTGGGCACGGGCGGAGGGGCATGGGCAGTGCTGCAGGCGGCACCACCACATGTCCACATGAGTCCTGTGGATGCAGATGACGGTCATCATGCATTCACGGGCAATTCAAGTGTTGCTGACACTGTTGATGTGCATCAAGACAACCGCACAGCCACAGCGGAGGCAGTTTCGGTAGAGGGAAAACCTGCTGCCATTGGGAATGTAAATAGCATGGAAACTGATAGAAGCACATCAAGAAATGTTTATTAAGGTACAAATTGAAATTATTATTTTTCCATTCCTAGATATCCCGTGCACCCTGTACCACGTATCGGGGCGAACTGGCCTCTTAGCAAAACAGCGATTTCCCACAACAGCCCTCGGGAACAGTTTTCTGGAAGATTCGCATTTCGCACGCCTGCCACTCCGATAGTTTCTTCCAGCCATCTAGGTGGTACTGACACGTACAACTTTCCATACAGCGCTTCGGCACGCGGACGATCCATTGAAGCACTTGTAAAGATCTAACCTATTAGTCTTGCAGGAAGATAGGGAATAAACTGGCGGAGTGAGCTCGGGTTGTTCGGGTCGGAGGTATCTGGGATGGCGGAGGCGGGAAGTGCCACCGCGCGATCGCCGCCGGAAGAGGCGGGAGTGGAGTCCGACATGGCGCGAATCGCGGTGGCGGATGCGACAGACGGGAAGCCCGCAGGCAGCGGTGCTGACGTGGACGAGCTGGATGACGTGGAGCAAACAGAGGTGGTGTTGTTCCACCTGAAGGAGTGCTACGTGTACAAGGTGCGCACCGTCACCCATCCTCCTTCCCGCTTCCGCGCATTTCTGATTCGTGCGGCGGCGACGCGCTCAAGCGAGTCGCGGGCGGGCGGCACCACCGCATGGCGTAACGCAAGCACGTCCCATGGGCTGTGCGACGCGCCTAGCGAGGAAACTTGAAATAGTCTGCGCAGCATGCGGACACGTGCGTAGCCATTTCTGCCCCTCCGCGCCACAGCAGCCTTCGAGTCGCGTCGACAATGCCGCGCGTTTCACGCTGCTGCCTCCCTTGACTCTTCACGTCACCTTCATCCTCCTTTCCCCTGTCCCGTCTCCCCTCCCTGCCCTCCCTGCCCTCCCGTCCCCTTCCCTCGCGCTCCCCGCGGGTGCTGATCCCCCATTGCCACGAGGCGGCACCAGATTCCCCCGCGCAAGACAGCAGCGTCGTACAGGTGCGCTCACCCTCCCTCACTCCCCTCCCTCTCCTCACTCCCACTCCCCGCACCCTCCTCGTTCCCCTCACTCCCAGTCTTCTTACCTCTTCACCCAGTCCCCAGTCCGCATCCTTACTCCCAGTCCCCTCTCTCCCCTCGCACGTCCCCCACTCTTTATTGACCTATCATCTGACAAGCATTCGCCCTACCACATCGCCCCACCCACGCTTCCCACCTTGTCTCCATCCCTTCCTCGTCCCTTACCCCCTCTCCCCCATTCATCTCCCCGCGTCCCCCCCTCGTTTAGGGCGGACGAGTGGGACATAAACAGGTGGGCGTGGGAGGGCGCCATCAGCGTGGTGTCGCGCGGCGACCACTGCAGCATCCGCCTGCTGGACGCCGCCACGGGCGACCTCTTTGCGCACGCGCCCGTGCGCCCCAACCACCCGCTGCCCCTGGAGGCCGTCATCGACAGCAGCCGCTTCTTCGTGCTGCGCATCGAAGACTCCTCCCCGCCCCCCCCCTCCGCCTCCGCCTCCTCCGCCTCCTCCACCAAGGCTGGCAAATCCAGCAGCAGCAGCAGCAGCAGCGGCGGCAGCGGCAGCAGGGGTGGTGAGGCATGCGTTCATAGGGCTGGGGTTTCGGGAGCGCACGGCGGCGTATGACTTCCAGGCGGCGGTGTACGACCATGTCAAGTACGTGCATAAGCAGCAGGAGGCGCGGCGCATGGGGCAGGCGTTTGAGTCGCGCCCCGCTGCGGACTACCGCCTCAAGGAGGGGCAGAAGCTTCACTTGGACATCAAAACGGTGCGTTGGAGAGGGGAGGGGGGGTGAAGAGGGGGGGGATGCGTGGTGCAAGGAGGAGGGGTGATGCAGGGGATTGAGGCCGGTTGATGGCAGCGCATGGGGAGTGGGGGAATGGGGAGAGGGCAGCTTGATGGTGTCTCCCGTGCTCACTCTGCTTACATGCGCTGCTGTGTGTGCATCCTTCCCTTCCCTTTCCCCCCATGGCAGCCGGCGCGGGCAAAGCCAAGCACAGCAGGGCTGCCACTGTCGCCCACCACACCCGGCAACGTGGCCTTCAAGTCGCCCTCCCTCACAGCTGCTGACCCTGACGCCTCTGCCCCCATGCGCCAAGCCTCGGGGGACCATGGCGCTGCTGACTCCTCCCCACCGCATGCCACCGCAGCTGCTACCACTGTGGGCGCCTCACCCCCCATCCTCCCGCCCCCACCCCCAGCGCGCCTCTCCTCGCCTCCCTCCGCATCGCCCTCGTCCCCCCCCTCCACATCCTTCTCTGCGCGCTCCTTCCCCCCCGCAGCCCCCTCGCCCTCCATTGCGTGGGCGTTCCAATCCGACGACCCGCCTGCCCCGGTCACCTCCACACCCCAATCCGTCATGCCTGCCACCTCTGCTGGCAGTGAGGGCACTGGCAGTGCAGCAGCAGCAGCGGGGGAGGACGCAGATGACTTTGGGGAGTTCGTGGCCGCGTGAGGTGCCTGTGGGCGGTAGAGAGGGGGAGTTGTGAGTTGAGAGGAGGTGCAAGGGATGAGGGCAAGGCATGGAACCCCAAGACTGGCAGCCGCATGCATGCACGCGTGTGCTGCTGTGCTGCCATGGGGGTGGATGGCTTGCAAGCACCACAGGAGAGCATCACCATGGGCTAGCTGACACCAACTAGCCTGCTAAGCTCGTTCATATTCAAGAGGATTCGCTCACCAAGCATGTATTGTAATCCATCATCTGTACACCACAATTACAGTGGATCTAAACTGACCCGCTACGATTTAACATGCATGGATGCACAGAGCACAGCATCTGCATCTCTACTACGCAAACTCCAGTGGCCGTGGTTGCAGCATGCAGCAGCCACAAGCAATCCTTCTGCTTTGCCCCTACAACTCTGCACCTGCTCGCTACCTCGCACCGTTCTTCTTCCCCCACCCCACCCCCTTCCCCTTGCCGCTCTTTCCCCCCAGCGCCTCGCGGTGCAGGAAAGCAGCACTCATTCGGGCAATGCGCCCGCCCACGCCCTCCTGCGCCGCCTTCCCATCCCCCTCCCCATCGTCCTCCCCGCCCCCGTAGCGCACGCGCCTGGCCTCCGCCTGGAAGTCACCCAGCATGTCGCGCACCACCTGGGCTGTGATGCCACGCACGTAGTAGTCCAGAGGGGGCGGGGGCGACAGTGCCAGCTGCACCACCTGCTGCAGATGCACGCGCGAAGCCATGCGCGCGCCATGCCCAGGTTTTGTCTCACTTGCGCCCTCCCCACTTGGGCCCTCTCCACTCCCCCCCCCTTCATTAGCGCCCGTCTCCCCAGTGGGTCGGCTGTCGAACGCCTCCTGCGCATCCTCAAACTCGCCGCCCTCCGCCCCCCGCCCCGCCTCCCCTTCCGCCGTTTCTGCCTTCCCTGTCCCCTCCACCCCACTTCCGCTCTCGGCTGTATCCGTTCCGCCCTTCCCCTCCGCCGCTCCCCCCGCGCGCATGTCCGCGGACCCCGGCACGGGCAGCGGCTCCACGCGCCAGAAGCCCTCGAAGCGCCGCATGAACCCCGGCTGCGCGATCTTGAACGACATCTGCGCGTGGGAGGGGGAAGGGGGGAGTGGGGGGGCCGAGAGGGGAGGGGAGGGGTGAAGGCATGAGAGGGAAAGAGGGTGGGAGGACGGAAGCAGACGCGTGAGGGCCCGCAGCAACTGGAATTTGAATAAAATCCTCTCTCTGGCCTCGAGCGCTCCAGTCCGCTTTCCATCTACTCTCCCCCTCGTTCCCCCCCCCCCCCCCCCCCCCCCCCCCCCCCCCCCCTCGTGCGACGCACCGTACGTTCCGCGCGGTCCTGAGTGACGAGGAGGCGCGTGTCGAAGGAGCCGGAGAAGACGAGGAAGCGCCACGCAGCGGACTGCTCCACCTCCACCAGCTGCCGGTCGCCGTCGTCCTCCAGTACCTTGCGGTGCTTCACGGCCTTGATGTTCTTGAACACGCGCCGGTTGTACGGGTCGCACAGCGTGTTGTACACCGTGTCGGGCGGCAGCGCCAGGGTGACCTGGCAGTCCAGCTGGCAGAAGGTGCCTTTGGGCGTCGACACCGTCAGCTGCGCCGCCTCGTCGCGCCACTCGGGGTCATCCCGCCACGCGCGCATTTGTCGCTCCAGCTCCGCGCGCCACAAGATGCGCCCCTCGCGGTACCCGTCCATCTGCACCACCGCCTCCTCCCCCTTCCGCTGCGCCTCCTCCGCCTGCCGCTGCGCCTCCGCGGCGTGGTGCGCCTGCTCCCACTCTCTCTGCCGCGCCAGGCTCTCTTCGTCCATCACAAGTTCCGCCGGCTCCTCGCTCGTCGCGTCCTCGAACTTCTCTGCCACGTCACCGTCGCCGGCCGAGGCGTCCTTGCTGTCACTGCCCTCGGCGGCGGGAGTTTCTGTTGGTGCGGCGAGAGTTTCGCTAGGTTCTGCAGGAGCGTCGCTAGATTCGGCGGGAGATTCGCTAGGTTCGGCGGGAGTTTCGCTAGGTTCGGCGGGAGTTCCGCTAGGTTCGGCAGGAGTTTCGGTTGGTGCGGCGGGAGTTCCGGTTGGTGCGGCGGGAGTTTCGCTAGGTTCGGCAGGAATTTCGCTAGGTTCGGCGGAAGTTTCGCTTGGTGCGGCGGGATTTTCGCTTGGCGCGTCCGCTGTTTCGGTTGGTGCGGCAGGAGCGGGCAATTCCGCAACTGGTTCTTCCTTCACGTCACCGCCCTCCCCATTCCCCCCTGCCTCCATCGCCGCTCACCGAGAATGTCTCCTTGGTCGCGATTCCCGTAGCTTGCGTCGGAGATGATGCGCGCGTATCCTACCCAGCAAGATGCCGTCGTGCTGTTAGTTCTGAACGCAAGACACAGCAAGTGCGGATTTGCGAAGTCAAAGACGCGCGGGGAAGTGAGCTGCTCCCTTTCTGTCGTACCTAGATGGCTATTTCATGTGACCATGCTGATTACACCTAACCACCGCTATTTTCTTTCGGTCTATCTTCAACCCCCACGTGTGCAAAGGGGTAGGCACCCTTCAAAACGTTTTTGACCGAGGGTTGTGTCGGACGTCATACGCTCTACGCAGAGTTAGTTCCTGACTCCTGAAAGCTACGCAATGGGATGCGCAACAACAAGCAGACTCCACACGAGCCGAAATTGTCTTACACTCGCCCGATTGAAATCTCCATTTGATGTCATTCATAGTCCCCTATAACGAGGTTTCTAACAGAAAACCCCAAAAGCTGGGCAGGGATTACATGAAAATCGGGAACAGTGCCAAGGTCAGAAGTTGAAAATAGCGGTGGCTAGGTTGTACTGGAACCAATCTTGCTGCAATTTCGATTCATAAATGCGACGCTCGGGAGGGGCGTTCCTGCACGGCAGAGGCTAGCGCGGGGATCAGGGCTCAGGCTATCAGGGTAAATGCTCGTTCTTGACTGAAAATCCTAGGTATTTTTCAGCCGAACTCGGATTTTTCCAGGGGAATTTTTCGGCCAGCCCTGACTGAATCCGAGCACTTCCAGGACTGACTCTGGTGAATACGAGTCATCCCTCGAAGGACTCGGAACCTTTTTCTAAGGTTCTAACCACCCCCAACCTCGTCCCCTCCCCAACACAGGTAGACTTCTCCCCGCGCTTCCTGGACTTGTGAATGTTCCCCCGACCCTCTGTTCCTTAGTCAAAGGCACCTATACTCTATCGCTCTCTGTGAGCAGAGTTCCACACAAAAGGAGGATAAGTGCACCAACAGAGTGTTTCAGCATCAGCTTTTGTCAGAAAGAAGTCCTTATTGACGCGGAACTATCGAATTACGTAAACGAGGATTTTTTAGGCCAGCCCTGATTTTTACGAGCGGTTTTTAGGCCGACCCTGCGTTTTCAGGGCCTTTTTGGAAGGGAGCCAAAACGTCCGAGTTGGCGAAAAGCCTAACTTTAGCCCTGGCGGGGATTCAGCCCAGCACGTTCTCGCGGGACATGCTGCTGACCTGTGGGGACTTGCTGGCGTGGCGCCACGCGGCCTGACAAGAGGGGCCTGGACCGCCAATCGCAGAGCTTGTGTATGGAAAGTCAGCAAGGCTCGCTTTTGGGCTGGCGTCGGATCGTACAGTTCATGCAAACACAGCAAGATTCAGAAATTTATACAAAGAAATTACAAAAAAAGTATAGAATTGAAGATTATTTACAAAACCCTACGCAGCCCTTGAGGGCAACGTTTCTTTGCCCATTAGGCCATGCATATTTGGCGCAAAGCCAAAGTATGGTGAAGTAATTCCAGAACCTTAGCACTTGACTCCCCGTCTCACGGGCACCCAGTTGCACTCTTTGCGTGGCAGTGAGCTCTTGAGCACCTCCCTGTGCAGGAAGGCAGCACTTCTGATGGCACGAAACCCGTTGTCCCTCTGCAAGTGCAGCTCGTGGGGCTCCACGCCCCGTTCTCCTCCCACCTCCACTGCTCTCTCCTCTACCTCCTGCTGCTTCTCCTGCTCCCCCGCTCGCACCTTCTCCTCCAACTCCTCATCCTCACCAGAGCTCTCGCCTTCCTCTTGCGAATCCAGTCTCACAAGAGGCGGAGGGGGAGGAAAGGACGCCTCTGTCTGCAGTTTCTCAGCGGGCGCGGGCATGTCAGGCGCCGGGGCGGGGTCGGGGAAGGCGGTGTGGCCGTCCGCGATGGGGAAGGGCGCCTCTCTCAGCCGCCGTGCCTCCGCCATGAAGCTCGTGAGCATGTCTCTCGCCTCGTGCGCCGTCTTGTTGCGCGCCAGCATGTCGAACGGCGGCGGCGGCGGCATGGCGAGCAGAATCACCTGCTGCAGGCGCACGCGCGAGGCCATGCGCATGTGGCACTCCGCGCAGCACTCCTCTGTGTCTGTCTCTTCAAGTAACACGTCACTGACGTCGAAGAACACGTCACCCTCCTTGTCCATCTCCCCCCCTATCCACCCGAACCGTCCGTCTCCCTCCGTGTCTCTGCCCTTGCCGCGCGCAGCTTCGCGCTCCCGGGCGGCCATGGTTTGCGCGTGTCGCGAGCACGGCACGGGCAGCGGGTCCACCTGCCACGAGCCCTCGAAGCGTCGCATAAAGCCCGGCCGCGCGATCGAGAACGACATCTGCGGAGCGGCGAGAGGGAAGACACGACTTTAGCATGCGCTAGGCGTGGAAGCGAACACTGCACGCACACAGGGATCAGGAGTGACAGCCCAAGGATGCATCGCTCACAAGGTAACTGGAGCTACAAACGTGAGCTCATGGTTTTGCCGCAGCGAGACGTACCGTGTGTTTGAGTCGATCCTGTCGCACGAAGAGTCGCACGTCGCAGGAGCCGGAGAAGATGAGGAATTTCCCAACGGCGGACTGCTCGACCTCGACGAGCTGGCGGTCGCCGTCGTCCTCCAGCACGCGGCGGTACGTGACGGCGCGGATGTTCTTGAACACGCGCCGGTTGCACGGGTCGCACAGGATGTTGTACACCGCGTCGGGCGGTAGCGCCAGCGTCACCTCCGAGTCGATCTGGCAGAATGCGCCCTTGGGGGCTGACACCTGTGTGCGTGCAGGGGAGAAGGGGGAGGAGACAGTGAATGACTGGCGCACGAGGTGACGGGAGAGACGGAGACGGTGCGCGCACGAGGGGAGCAAGGGCCCGAGAGAGGTTGGGACGGAGCGTCGGGGGTTAAAGACGCGCGAGCGAGGGGCGACGAAGCACTGGGAGCGTGACTGACCTTGACGTTGGGCGTCTCGTCGTGCCAGTGCGGGTCGTCGCGCCACGCCTGCATCTGCGCCTTGAGCGTGCGCTGCCACTGCACCGTTCCCGCCTTGTACGGCCCCATCTCCACCACCGCATCTTGCGGTCCCCCTTGCCTTCCATAATCGCATGCTGCCGCCCCCATGAATGCGGATCCCAAGTGACGCTACGGTAGAAAATAACGAGACGGCTCTCTCGTTGTATGTTGCTGCAATTCGAAATCAAGCACGCGGTCGAACAGAATATGTCGAATCCGTGATCAGAGCAGCGAGTCAGTCCTATGACGCGTTATTGTAGCGGGTTTTGTGAATTTCAATGGTAAGTACTAGCGAGTTCAGAATAACTAGGAACGTGTACGACTGGATGCTGGTAGCAGTTGACATGGATTAAGAAGTTGAGGGTCAGTGGAGTCAGATTCGCATTCTCTTCGCCGCCCCGTCGCCATCCACATCCCATTTCCCCGGCGCTGGTCGCGCCGCCGTAACTCCCCAACCCAACCTCCTCCCCTCCTCGCTCTCGCTGTCGACTTGCGTTGACCGTACCGTGTCTCACCCAGCCCAACCACAGTGGGAGCTCCATCGTCACCGCCCCTACCTGCGTCACCACCAGCTGTTCCGTCGTGCGCGCCACTCACCATCCGTTTGACTTTGCGGCTCCCCATTCGCTCAGCTTCGGCACTTGCTGAGTTGGCTTTTGATGTTGCCGATGTGTCACAGCTGCGGGTGTTGTGGAAGTGTAGACGATGGCAACAGAAATACACACCGCTAGGGTTCACTGCTCGGGCAGCCTGCGACTCCTGTCATAAGGCATCAGCGTCAGGTACCACGAGTACGTCCAATCGGCGCCAAGTGTTCATCAAGCAAGTCTTCGACATGGCACTCGCTGCGCGTGGCGGAAAGGGGTTCTCCCGTGGCAGTTGGGGAAGTTGATGTGCTTTGGTGCTGGCATGACGCCAGCTGCCTTCAAAAGGTTCTAGTGACACCCGGAGGCCAACCGCAAAACGTCACTTGGGATCAACCTCGGAGTCATCCACGTGGGCCTAGAAACTACGGACCGACGCACCACCACCGCGTCACCTCACCTCGAATTGATATGCCGCCACTGACATCAACGACCATGACTCGTCTTTGAGAGAACAGCGAACAAAACTAGCGTCTAGGTTTGGCTGTACGAGTTCATAACCCGTACAATTTAATGACTAGTTGTCCAGGTTTGTGGGCGCTGTAGATATCTGCAAATATGCTCAACAGGAAACATGTTCGATGATCAAGCAAAAAGCATATATACAGATGCATTCACAAATTCTGCGACGAATCAACCAGTGCATTCTCAGTCATCCATTTCCTCTTCCCCTGTCTCAGGCCCTTCAAACATCTCTTCAAGAGGTGGTGGTGCCACCGGCATGCATGCCTGCCCCCTCTCCCCTGACAGGATGCACAGCGCCTCGGCATCTCGGAGGGCGGCATCCAGGTCAATGTGGCAGCTGAGGTCGTTGGCGAACTTGAGTAACGAGTCAAACTCCATCTGCCATCACACAACCCTTGTGGTGTCAACCTAGGCAGATTCAATCAAGTAATGCAGTACTCATCCCCTCATTACCCATACACCAACAGGCATACTCTACTTCCCTATCACACAGTCAATTCCCCGTGCCTTCTGTTCTTTCCCCCTTCTACGGGCGCACCTGTTCATCCATGATGCGGCGGCGGTGGCGTTTGAGCACGGCAGCAGCGATGAAGAGGTGCAGGTGCTGCGACAGGTGGCAGCTCCACAGCGCCTCCCACAGCCGACACGTCTCCTCAAGCTCAAACTCCCTGCCACCCCCCCGTGCAGCACAGCGCAGGTCAGCACAGCAGCAAAGACATCATGTCTCATGTGGGGCATTAGGGGAACAAGTGGTCATCAGGCAAGCCTGGGTGGGTGCTGGATGCAGCAGCGTAAGGGATGGGAGGGCGAGCAGGGCAGCAGAGCATGGCTGACCTCTTGAAGCGCACGAGGGCAACACACCTCTTGAAGCGCACGAGGGCAACACACCTCTTGAAGCGCACGAGGGCAACACACCTCTTGAAGCGCACGAGGGCAACACACCTCTTGAAGCGCACGAGGGCAACACACCTCTTGAAGCGCACGAGGGCAACACACCTCTTGAAGTGCACGAGGGCAACACACCTCTTGAAGCGCACGAGGGCAACACACCTCTTGAAGCGCACGAGGGCAACACACCTCTTGAAGCGCACGAGGGCAACACACCTCTTGAAGCGCACGAGGGCAACACACCTCTTGAAGCGCACGAGGGCAACACACCTCTTGAAGCGCACGAGGGCAACACACCTCTTGAAGCGCACGAGGGCAACACACCTCTTGAAGCGCACGAGGATCCAGCGGAAGCAGAAGAAGAAGTTGAGGCAGTCGACGCTCTCCAGGTACTCGTAGAGGGGCGCGTCCACCAGGTGCACCAGCTGCTCATGGGAGGAGGGGTGGGGCGGGACAGTGAGGTGAGGAGAAGGTGATGAGGGCAGGCATGCACTGGGTCCACCAGCTGCACCAGCTGTGAGGGCGGACGTGGGTGGAGAGGCAGCGGGGAGAGAGGGGGGTGAGGGGCAGCACGCACATAGAGGGCAACCCATTGAGAGGCGGCTGCTGAGGTAGATACTAGAAGAGGGAGCGAGTGTGAACAAGCGCTGCGCATGCACCTGGGAGAGTGCTTGCAACTGGGCGTGCATGCCGCTCTGGTCGCGGTGGAAGTTGGGCGCCATGGTCTCCATGTACGCTGCAAACGCCCAGAACGCCTCCACCTCATCCCCCAGCACCATCAGCAGCGGTGCTAATAGGTCGCCCATGCCCTGCCAGGGGGGGGGGAAGAGGGGGGCGGACCAGGTGCATGGCAGGCGCGGAGGAGGCGGAGGCAAACAGTTGGTCGGTTTAAAAACGAGCATGAGCATGCAAGGCCGCACAGCAGGTGGTATCACCTGGCAGTAGACTAAAAAGCACCTGGCAGCATGGCAGCACCTGGCAGCACTTGGCAGCACGAGGGAGCACCTGGCAGCAGCCAATCACCTGACAGCAAGGCACGTGGCAGCCCCTGGCTGTAGCCGATCAGCTGACGGCAAGGCACGTGGCAGCACATGACAAGGCAGCACATGGCAGCACCTGGCAGTAGCCGAGGTCGAAGTTGTAGAAGGCGTAGGTGATGAGGATGCGGCGCACACGCTCCAGATTCTCATTGCCCTCCCCCGCGAAGAACGCCAGGTGCCGGTCCGTGCGCACCTGGTGGCGGGCGCGTGCAGGGTGTATGGTGCATGGGACGGGGCAGGCGGAGAGAGGTCAGGTTGGGGAGACAGGTCGGGGCAAGAGGCGGGGGAGAGAAAGGGGAAAACGGCGCATAAAGAGTGAATTGACGATTGAATGAGCACAACTGCTGGAAGCGCAAGAGGCGGAGGGAGGTGAGGGTGAGGGTGAGGAGCGTACAACATCCTTGTCGATGCGGCTGCACCTCTCCCTATACTTGGTGAACCGCCTCGCCTGCTCCTCACTTATACTCTGCACCACATGGCAGCAGCATGGGGGGGCGAGAGTGGTGGTGCATACAGTGAGGGAACAGAGCGGTGCAAGTGGGAGCAGGGAAGAGAGAGATGCGGTACTGTGTTTGAGCTCTAATGGTCCGCATCTCAAAAGCAACGCTGACGAAGACCAGTGAGAGCCCAAGTGCGGCCCACCTGCCACTGCAGCAGCAGCGCGTTGTACGCGGTGATCTGCCTCTGCCGCAGCTGCTCCCTCTCCGCGTGGCTGGCATCCCACGGCACATAGCCCAGCAGCCGCGGCCACACCTGCTCGCTCCATGCAAGTGTGCGTGGGGGGCATGGGGAACATCGGCGAGTGGAATAAGAAACGGGTGGCATGGGGTAGAATGAGATGGGTATGTGCATGGCATGTGGAGGTGGTGTGTACTGTTCCATGGTACCACCCATCCCATGCATACATGGCAGTGGCAGCCATGGCAGTGGGGGCACCTGGGCGCGCAGGTGGGGTTCGATGCCGCTGTAGAAGATGCGCTGCAGCACCGCCTCCCTGTTCGCCTCGCTCACCCGCCCCTCACTGTCCTCATACCCCCGCCACTGGTGGGGTCCATTGGGGGGGGGGGGAGAGAGCGAAGGACGTGTGAGGGGAGATGGAAGCTAATGCAGCTACAGGCTCACGACAAGGGAGGGCGGGAAAGTGATAAAAAATGAACTTGGAATTGCGGAGGAGGCGGGTAAGGCGATATGCATGGAAGCATATCAACACGGCAGCACGGCACACAACTGACCTCATCTTCGGAGAGTGGTGGCAGTTGAGGGCGAGGCGGCACGAGGGAGGAGGAATTGTCCTGCAGGGGCATTGGCACACGGGACATGCAGCGTTGGAAGCCACGTGAGCACATGCATGGTGCATGACAGCGCAGAGCGGGAGGAGACACACCGGCAAGCATGCAGGGGAAGAAAAATGGCGTGCAGGAGGCAGGTGGCATGCAACATGTGGCATGCAACGTGTGGCATGCAACGTGTGGCATGCAACGTGTGGCATGCAACGTGTGGCATGCAACGTGTGGCATGCAACATGTGGCATGCAACGTGTGGCATGCAACCGTGTGGCATGCAACGTGTGGCATGCAACATGTGGCATGCAACATGTGGCATGCAACATGTGGCATGCAACATTTGACATGCAACATATGGCATGCAACATGTGGGATGCAACATGTGGCATGCAACATGTGGGATGCAACACGTGGAATGCAACACGTGGCATGCAACATGTGGCATTTGGCATGTGGGCATGCAGCGCTCACCTGAAAGTCGTCTAGCAGTTCAAACTCGCCCACGCCTGTGCTCTCCTCCGTGCTCCCCTGCACACATGCACACACACATGGATGCAGTGGGGATACAGGGAGAAGATGAGAGTGCATGCATGTGCCACAACCTCATCCCACCATGCCATCACACCCCACTCCGAACCCCCCTCTTCCCACCATCCCTCCCTCCCCCCGTTTCCACCCCCCCTCCCCCCCCCAGAGCACGAAGCGCACCTTGATGGTGGTGAGGCGGCTCAGACTGCCCTCACTCTCGCCCTCCTCCTCCTCCTCCTCCTCCTCCCCCGCCCACCCGCCCCCCCACGCGTCAGCAGCAGGCATGCGCTCCTCCGCATCCCTGCCGCCCAGCAGCCGCCCCTCATAGCCGCCCATGCCGCCCAGCCCGCCCATGGCCTCCCCCACGGCGGCGGGGGCGGCAGCCAGCATGCCGCGTGCCATGCGCGTCACGGCGGAGAAGCCCCCCAGCACCTGGAGGACACATGGGGCAGGAGGGCGGGGGGAGGGAGGAAATGGCAGAGGCACGGGCAGGGCATGAGCATGAGCATGAGCATGAGCATGAGCATGAGCATGAGCATGAGCATGAGCATGAGCATGAGCATGAGCATGAGCATGAGCATGAGCATGAGCATGAGCATGAGCATGAGCATGAGCATGAGCATGAGCATGAGCATGAGCATGAGCATGAGCATGAGCATGCACGCACAGGGCGGGCGTGTTTCTCAGCACCAGCTCGCAGCTCCCAGCGCACCTGCATGGAGATGTCCTTTGCCACGTCAGCAGGCTGTTGGCGCTGCCTGCTGCTGTGCGGTGCACGGTGTTGCTGGTGCTGCTGGTGGGAGAGCGCCCTACCCCGAGCAGCGTCCTGCAGGGCGCGTTCATTGGCGGCTTCCAGGATGCGCAGCACCTCCGCCTCCGATGGCTGCTCCCCATTTCCCTCTCCCCCGCCCCCCCCTTCCCCTGCCCCCCCCGCCTTCCCCCCTCGCCTCTGCTTAGCCTGCTGCTGCGCGAGGGCATGGGCGGCCTCCAGCATGCGCAGCATCTCCGCCTCACTCGGGTACTGCTGCTCCCCCTCGCCCCCCTCCCCTGCCCCCTCGCCTCCCTTTCCCCCCTCCTCGCCGTCCACCGCCCCGCCATCAGAAGGGGTGGGAGTGACGGCGGTGCTGCGAGGGGCAAGCGACGGGGGCAGCTTGTTCCTCTGCACTGCCTTGGTCCCCTTACCCTTCCCACCCTCCGCGTCCTCCGCGCTCTCCCCGTCCTCCCCCCCTTCAGCCTCGTCCTCGCTCACACTGCCCAGCGCCCTGCTGCGCCCAAGCGGCCCGACCGCCGATGCACTGCGCTCGCCCAACCCGTACCTCCCCCCCGCCCCCGCCCTCCCCCCTGCCCCCGCCCTCCCCCCTGCACCGCCCGCCGCTGCCGCAGCAGCAGGAGTGGCAGAGGGGGCGGAGGGGCGGAAGGGCGGGGCGTGGCGGCGGGCGGCAGGGAGCGACATGGAGCGAAAGTTGGCGGAGGCGGGCGGCTCGGCGGGCTCGGCGGATGGCGGATCCCACAGCTGCAGCTGCGCTAGACTCCTCTGCTCACTCGGGGGGGGGGGGAGGACATGTGGGGAAGAAAGGGTCGAACAGACATGGAACATGAGATGATATGGAACATGAGATGATATGGAACATGAGATGATATGGAACATGAGATGATATGGAACATGAGATGATATGGAACATGAGATGATATGGAACATGAGATGATATGGAACATGAGATGATATGGAACATGAGATGATATGGAACATGAGATGATATGGAACATGAGATGATATGGAACATGAGATGATATGGAACATGAGATGATATGGAACATGAGATGATATGGAACATGAGATGATATGGAACATGAGATGATATGGAACATGAGATGATATGGAACATGAGATGATATGGAACATGAGATGATATGGAACATGAGATGATATGGAACATGAGATGATATGGAACATGAGATGATATGGAACATGAGATGATATGGAACATGAGATGATATGGAACATGAGATGATATGGAACATGAGATGATATGGAACATGAGATGATATGGAACATGAGATGATATGGAACATGAGATGATATGGAACATGAGATGATATGGAACATGAGATGATATGGAACATGAGATGATATGGAACATGAGATGATATGGAACATGAGATGATATGGAACATGAGATGATATGGAACATGAGATGATATGGAACATGAGATGATATGGAACATGAGATGATATGGAACATGAGATGATATGGAACATGAGATGATATGGAACATGAGATGATATGGAACATGAGATGATATGGAACATGAGATGATATGGAACATGAGATGATATGGAACATGAGATGATATGGAACATGAGATGATATGGAACATGAGATGATATGGAACATGAGATGATATGGAACATGAGATGATATGGAACATGAGATGATATGGAACATGAGATGATATGGAACATGAGATGATATGGAACATGAGATGATATGGAACATGAGATGATATGGAACATGAGATGATATGGAACATGAGATGATATGGAACATGAGATGATATGGAACATGAGATGATATGGAACATGAGATGATATGGAACATGAGATGATATGGAACATGAGATGATATGGAACATGAGATGATATGGAACATGAGATGATATGGAACATGAGATGATATGGAACATGAGATGATATGGAACATGAGATGATATGGAACATGAGATGATATGGAACATGAGATGATATGGAACATGAGATGATGTGGAACATGAAATGATGTGGAACATGAGATGATATGGAACATGAGATGATATGGAACATGAGATGATATGGAACATGAGATGATATGGAACATGAGATGATATGGAACATGAGATGATATGGAACATGAGATGATATGGAACATGAGATGATATGGAACATGAGATGATATGGAACATGAGATGATATGGAACATGAGATGATATGGAACATGAGATGATATGGAACATGAGATGATATGGAACATGAGATGATATGGAACATGAGATGATATGGAACATGAGATGATATGGAACATGAGATGATATGGAACATGAGATGATATGGAACATGAGATGATATGGAACATGAGATGATATGGAACATGAGATGATATGGAACATGAGATGATATGGAACATGAGATGATATGGAACATGAGATGATATGTGTATTTGAACGGCAGGGCAGGGCAGGGCAGGGCAGGGCAGGGCAGGGCAGGCATGAGCAGAGGAGGAGCGTGGAGAGGTGGGGCGGGGCAGGGCAGGAGAGGGCGGCACCTGCAGGAGGTCGAAGGACTGGTTGACGTTGTAGACATTGGGGTCGTCGAGGGAGCGCTCGAGCATGGCGTGCTGCTTCAACACGTGTAGGAACTCCTTCACCCCCCCGTCGTAGAAATAGAGCGGCGGGAACGCCACTCCTGCACCCCACACACGGCCAGGAGCACAAGGTGAAGTGAGCACAAGGTGAAGTGAGCAGCGATGGGGAGATGAGGTAGAAGGAATGCGCGCAGGAGAGAGAGAGGTTGCAGAGGCACCTGAGGTGAGGACGATGATGATGTAGTGCCATCCGAAGGGCGGCGTGTGGCGGCGGATGGATCGCATCTCCGCCACGGCCACTGAGCGGATGGAGTAAAGCAGACTGCCCCGCGCTATGCCTGCTCCGTTGGTTGGGGAGGGGGGGGAGGGGGAAGAGGGGGTATTGGGGTGATGCCCCATGCGATGCACTGAGGGAGACACGAATGTGGTAACTGCAGGTGAGGACGACGGTAGCAGCAGCTGAAAACACAAGACGCACACACTCATGGTGAGATCTAGGAAACGCCAGGCGGCAGCATCACCACGGTGGGTGCCTGATCAGTGTGGTGCCGTGCAGAGTGCACGCTGCATGCCATGTGTGCAGTGCACGCTGCATGCCATGTGTGCAGTGCACGCTGCATGCCATGTGTGCAGTGCACGCTGCATGCCATGTGTGCAGTGCACGCTGCATGCCATGTGTGCAGTGCACGCTGCATGCCATGTGTGCAGTGCACGCTGCATGCCATGTGTGCAGTGCACGCTGCATGCCATGTGTGCAGTGCACGCTGCATGCCATGTGTGCAGTGCACGCTGCATGCCATGTGTGCAGTGCACGCTGCATGCCATGTGTGCAGTGCACGCTGCATGCCATGTGTGCAGTGCACGCTGCATGCCATGTGTGCAGTGCACGCTGCATGCCATGTGTGCAGTGCACGCTGCATGCCATGTGTGCAGTGCACGCTGCATGCCATGTGTGCAGTGCACGCTGCATGCCATGTGTGCAGTGCACGCTGCATGCCATGTGTGCAGTGCACGCTGCATGCCATGTGTGCAGTGCACGACAGAGCAGCGCGCGAGGCCATGGCCAGTACAACCAACGCATCTACGCACCTTTAGGCGTGCCTGCGGGCGAGGAGGGCTCGTAGGGAATCCAATTCTGACAGCGGTGGCAGGGGCGGGTATGTAAGGGAAGGGGGTGCATGTTGGTGAGATGAGTGGTGTGTATGGCATGGCAAGTGGCATGGGTGGGTGAGATTCCTAAGGGCGGAAAGGCAAAGAGGGCGACGAGTTGACTGATAAAGCGGGGCAAGGGGCGGACTCCTGGGACCCGCATCGAAAGGCTAGATGAATGTGCTCCGACATGGACAGGACAAAAAACGCAAGCAGGCCGAGACGGGGCGAGGCAGGGCGAGACGGGAAGGCGGAGCGTTTGGGGGCGAAGAGTGGCAAGTAAGGGCGAGGGGAGGAAGCGGGGGGGTTGGGGGCGCGCGCGTACGAGGAAGACGTCAGCGCCGTGCTTGACGAGGCGCAGCTGCCCCGCGATCTTGCGGCTGGATGACGCCGACGGGTGCACCGCCACGTTGCCCTTCACGAACAACACCTCGCGCGCCACCCCCGCCACCGCCGCTTTCTCCTGCGCGCCTCCCCCGCCCGTCCCCTCCTGCGCCGGGTTTCCCCCTTCGCTCCCCTCCATCCTCCTGCTCCCACCGTTCTCGAGCGCGCCTTGCTTGCCCCGCAGCTCCCGCGGCGGCGCATTCGGCTTGCTGCTGCCGCCGCCATCGCTTCCCTCAGCCGGAGGGGGCTGCGCGGCCGGGGGTCGGCGCAGCGGGGGAGTGGTGGTGGAGCGGATGTAGCGTGCGTTGCCGCTCGGCACGGACGACGACGACGGCAGCGACCGGCCCTGTGCGACCGACTGCGCGCTCGCAGGAACCTGTAGAGGAAACGCGGAAAACGTCGGAATACACGGTGCGAGACAGCGCTTAGTTAATTGGAAAGAGGACTTTGAGACGAAGGACGGACGCAAATAAGTGTGATTAAAGTGTGAGCGATGCATTCTGCCATGGCGGATGCGTGGGTACACGACGACGGGCCTCGAGCTGCCTGTGTACACTCAGAACGAGAGCGCATGTTGGCGGTCTAATGTGTGGACATCGCACACTCCGACGAGCAGCAAACGGCATGACCAGCGACAAGTAGCAAGGCCTCGCAGCCTTTCTGACCTCGCGACCTGTCTGACCTCGCGAAATTGACTGCGAAGCGACGAGTGACCCCTGGGCGGCGGAGGGACGTCGTCAGTGTTGGGCTCCACGTACACGCTCCTATCGCGAGCCATGCTGTCGCGAGGCCTCACTCCCACAACGTGATTCACAAATTAAAACTACTGCTATCTCCAGGGTTTCGAATAATCGTGCTTTCACAAGGCAGGCTGACAGGGGCACGAGGTGGTGGTGTGTTGTTGCTTTGGCTAATCTCGTAACAGCAAATCAGCCTTGGGTTTGTACGGCAGGTAGGGAAGGGTAGAATGAATGCGCACGGCATCCCTGCGGCGGGCGGTCTGACTGATGAGGGGGAGTCGCTGGCCTGTGGCACGCGAAGGCTGGCGAGCTTGATGATGGCATTGCGACAAGAATTTGGATGGGATGGGAATGCGATGCGACGGAAGAGCGATTGTTTGGGGAATCCGATGGACGTGATGGATGGGGTCACGCGGGTGAATGCCGCCGCTGACGCACAGCTCCGCACTTTCCCCGTCGCTCGGCAGGAATGCGGTGTGGTGCGTGCAGAACACGCTTGCTAGTCCACGATATCCGTCCCCACCCAACCTCAACCCACTCCACCCCACCCAAATCCAGTCGCGGGCTGCTTCCTCCCCCCCAATGAGGGTGGCTGAGGCCCTGTTCGGCAGCACGAAAAAGCCATCAGAACCAACCAGATACCAACCACAAATCGAACAAACCTGGTTTGATTGATGGCTCGGCACTCTTGCTGACTCATGCTGACCTGTAGAAATTCCCTACGATTGGTCGCACTTCCGAACGTACTTCACAACCAGTTTCAGTTTCGTATTAGTTTTGTTGTTGGATCCAGTACCACGCAACAGTGCCAACCAACATGAAATGCACAGTAATTTACGGGCAAATTCATGTGCAATGCTGGTTGGGTCTCGGTCCAGTGCTGATCCTGCTTTCTACGTGGGTGGGCACGGTTGTCAGTTCATTGTGAGAGTCATGCAGCGAGCCTATTGGCCAGAGCACAAAATGTGCTCCTTTCTGGAATTTTTTCACCAGGTTCCTCGAAGCAAGGAACCTGTGATTGTGGTTGTTGGGTTTCGAGATTGGCTGTGTGGGGTATTGTCTGTTGTGTGCATCATGTGAGAGGTACCCCACGTTTGCATGTCTGGTTGCACAGCTGAAAGAGTAGAACAGTACCCCACGTTGATTTTGTTTTGTAGTAAGCCTAGCTTCGGGCCGAGGCTGTTTTGTCTTTCAGATTAGTTCGATTGCTGGTGAGAAGTGCATGGCAGCAGAAGTGCTGCCGAACAGGGCCTGAAATTTGTGAGGTGAGGTGGCCTCAGGTCTCGCCAAAGGTTGGAAGCTTTTCGGCGCGGTGAGCCATGGATGTGTTGAGTCAAGATGGAGTGAGCGAAGTTGGTTGTCCGACTCGGCTGAATTTGATCGAAAGTACATGAACGTGTGTTCAATACAATCCCAATGCAAAAAACGAGGCAACGTCAAATGCGTACAAGAAGCATATTGGTGAGAGCTCATCTGATCACGAGACAGCATCAAGAGAAATAAGAGCACTCTAGGTCGGCGCATCGTTTCTATGCATGATCAGTGTGCCACCCAGGTAGACTATATTATGCATGCGTTCTTAAAGATTTCTGTTATCAGTCGTGTTTCTTGTCATAATATACGTCGTGTCTGTCAGTGATCTCGAATTATGTAAGCGCCTTTAGGGCCTCACGCCATCTGCGGCCTCCACGGCTTCACCGATCGCCAATGGCAATTCGATTGCAGTCTTACCGGCATCTGTCATCCTTGCTTTTATTCATAACAGCATCCGCGGCTACAGCCACTCCTCTCACCACCCACCAGTTCAGTCGCCCCTCTCCCACCTCTGCTGATCGTCATTCCACCATCGTCAGCCATTCAAACGAGCAGTACAATGGTCGTCGCATGCTCGTGCTGCCGTCGCATCTGGCTCGCCCGCACTCCACGGACGACACGGAGCTGCCGTGCGGCGACGCCTGGCAGCACAACTACACCGCCTTCCACACCTCCGCCCGCACTGCCGCGCGCGATCCATCCGCGCGCGCGCAGGAGAAGGCGGAGCTGCGGTACCTGACGTTCACGTGCACGCCGGGGCTGTGCGGCGGGATCGGCGACCTGCTCATCGGGCTCGTGTCGTCGTTCCTGCTGTGCGTGCTGCAGGATCGCATTCTCATCGTCGACTACCCCTGGATGCTCCACGCATTCGAGCCGAACCACATCGATTGGCGCCTTGGCGACGACGTCCCCATGGACCCCGCGCGCCCCTTCCCGCCGGGCCCGCGAGACAGGCGCAGGCGCGGAGGGGGGGACCCGAACGAGGTGCAGGAGGGGGAGGTGCTGCGCGTGAATCTGCACAACCGCGACCTGCCGAGCAACGTGACGGAGTTCTTCGAGCGCATGCGCGCCGCGAGGAACATCCGGCTCATGTGGAACCGCGGGCTGCTGGTGCGGCTGTACGAGGAGGATGGTGCATGGTGGCACGAGCTGCACAGACGAGGGCTCAGACTGCCGTCCGCATTTGGATGCATTCTGCGATACCTTATCATGTAGGTGCCAAAGCCACCCCACTCAGTGTCGCATGCCACGTGGTTGCTGTTCACCACAGGTCACGGCTTGCTGACGAAATGCCGTCACACATGCTCCCCTGCCTCTGCACATGCTTGTCCACCTTACACTGCAGCAGCATCTCAATGTGCGTCCTCCACATTTCCGCCTCGCACCTCTATCCTGGCCCCTCGCCCACCCCCATGCATGGAACCATCATGGTGGTGGTGGCAGGCCAACGCCAGCAGTGCGGCACATGGTGCGGGAGGGCATAGCGCGGCTGACATACCCGGGCACGGCGTCCATCTGCATCCACGTGCGCACCAGCGACATCTCCACGTGGGAGCAGCCCAAGGTGGGCGAGAAGGTGAAGCCGCGCAAGGAGAACGTCAAGCGCCTCCTCAAGGGCTCCCACCGCCTCTTCGCATGCGCTCAGGTGGGAGGTCTCGGCAGTCCTCATGCTCTTCTGCTGCCGTGCTTGGCATCATTTGTTTGTGACTTAAGGTTGTGTGTGATGACCCATGCAGAAGCTGGAGGACTACTGGTATTCGAGTGACGCCCCAGGCATGGCAGTCAAGTGGGTGCTCATGAGCTCGTCGCTTGGACTCAAGCAGGCTGCACAGAGGAAATATGGCAGCAAGGTAACATGGAAGGCTTGTGGAGAGGTGCTGGTTACCCTAAACCCTGCTGTGGCACCTCTTGACATTTTGCCTCGCTTGACCCCCACCACTTGGGTCGTCATGCAGGTCATGACAACCGATATACAGCCCCTTCACATTGAGCTTCAAGGCTTCTCAGATGAAGAAAGGGCGGAAGCCTTTCGATCTACCGTGGCAGAATGGCTGCTATTCACACACTGCAACCACTTCATCTTCACCGAGTCAGGCTTTTCCAAGACTGCTGCATTGTACTCGTTGAGAAGACTATCAGCCCACATGATGGCAAGATGGGCTGATTCATGGAGGGACCACTCGTGGAAGGATAAATGTGATCCTGAGGAGCCCACCAGGATTACGGTGCTGGGAAATACGACCCGCTGGAGCGGGATTTAGTGTGTGCATATAATAAGCAGGATAATGGAATGAAGTTAAATGGTTAACCAATTATCACGGTACGCGATGCATTATAAAGTTGCGCCCTCATGTTTGGTCCTATGACACCACCACGCGATGCGACGGGACACGTCAAAGGGCCCAGCGTGACACCGTGGACGGCTGAAAAATAAGCAGATTTTTTTGTGCCCCTCGGCCCTCGGCAAATGAATTTCTATACAGTCTACGCAAATACACGGCAACGAGCGATGAATTGTTGGTCGTCTCGAAAGAACCGAGGATGATGCGAGCAACTGCTCTGCAGGACCACCATGTCTCCTGTTCTTCTCCCTGCCCTCACCCTCCTGGAAGCGGAGCTGGCCGTCACCGCCCGCGTCCTTCCGCCCCTCCCCCGCGAGAGAGGTGGCGGGCGGGCAGGCGCAGGACTGCAATCGAGGGAGCAGCGGTAATATCGAGCTCCACTAGCCTCCACCCGTGCTTGCAGTGTCTCCTTCGAAGAACCTAAATTAGCCTTTGACTGCCTCCGGCGAGGTCAGCCGCCATGGCCGACGTGAGTTCTGACACATTTTCTTCTTTTTATTGGCCGCATGTTAGTGTAACGTAGCTTTCGAGGCAGGCATTTGTATTGAGTTCATTCTCTGGCGGTTTGTTTCCGCTGTGTGTGCATGTGTTGTTGCGGGTCGACGCTGCTGTTCAGACCAAGAAACGATCGCCATCATTGCGCGTGCTCGCGACACCATGTCAAGGTACGCTGCTGGCATTTCTTCCGCCCTCGCTTTCAAAGAGGTTTCCTTCTTCCTAAAAGGTTGAAAGCGGGCACTTGCAAAGCGGCTTTCAGTATGCTTCTGTCGGTTTCCACCCCTTCTTGAGGTGTGCAGACCGGTTCACAGATCTGTACGACCTCGGGCAGAAGCTGGGGTCGGGGCAGTTTGGGACGACGTACGTGTGTCGCGAGCGCGCGACGGGCAACAAGTACGCGTGCAAGTCCATTCCCAAGAGCAAGCTGCTCACGGAGAATGACGTCGAGGACGTGCGACGCGAGGTCGCCATCCTCTACCACGTGCAGGTGCGCTCTGCCCCCGCTGCGCCACGTGCAGGTACGCGCTGCCTCCGCCGCGCCACGTGCAGGCGCGAACTATCGTAGTTGCGGCACGCAGCGCCGGAGACATTGCTGCGCTGCCGGCGATGCTGCGCTGTCGGCAATGCAGCGCTGCCGGCATTGCTGCGCCGTCGGCATTGCTGCGCCGTCGGTTAGCTGCACAGCCATGTCGCATTATCACCCCCGCGGTTGCCGCGCATGCATCCACCACTGACCGCGTTGCATCCTCGTCGTGGCCTGACTGGTGTGCGCGCTTGCGTGCGTGCGCGGGCGTTTTGCAGGGCCAGCCGAACATAGTGAACATGAAGGGCGCGTACGAGGATCGCGACTACGTGCATATCGTGATGGAGCTCTGCACGGGCGGCGAGCTCTACGACACCATCATCGAACGCATCGAGGCGCGCGGCGTCCCCTACTCGTGCGTCCGCCTCAAACCCCTGGCCCTTCACGTGCTCCCCCATCTCCCTCACACGCCTCAATTCAAATGCTTGCCGCAGCGCATGCTCCCCGTTTCTCCTCTCCTTCCACTCTCCATTCTCCCCCTCCCTTTCCTCCCTCAACCCTCGTTCCCCTCTCCCCTTCTCCCCACCCCCTTTTCCCCCACCTCCCCACCTGCGCCCCCCCAACTTCCCCAACCCCTCCGCCCGTCGCCCCGGGCAGCGAGCACGACGCGGCGGAGATGGCGCGCGTGATAGTGCGCGTGGTGGAGCGGTGCCACGCGCTGGGCATCGTGCACCGCGACCTCAAGCCCGAGAACTTCCTGCTCTCCAGCCGCGACCCCGACACGGCGGAGCTCAAGGCCACGGACTTCGGGCTGTCGTGCTTCTACAAGGGCGAGGGCATGGCGCGCCACTGCGGCTCGCCCATGTACATGGCGCCCGAGGTCGTGCGCTGGCGCTCCGCCACGCAGCTGATGGCGAAGCGCCCCGCCAAGTACGGCCCCGAGGTGGACATCTGGAGCGCGGGGGTCATCATCTACGCGCTGCTCTGCGGCTTCCCGCCCTTCTACCACAGTACGTGCCCTTGTACCGCAGTGAGATGGCTTGCCATTGAGGTTGATGACGTGACTCGTGCAATCAACTGTTGCTGTTCCTCCCTCCGCTACTCCTCCTCGCCTCTCCGCCCACCACTCTCCAACTTCCCCCACATCACCATCCCGCACCCTCCCCCCTTTCCTGTCAACCGCCAACCCCTTTTCCTCGCCCCGGTGCGCGCAGGCAGCCATTCAACGAAGGAGATATTCAAGGCGGTGCTGCGCGCCAACCCGTCCTTCTCCATCCCGCCGTGGCCGTCCATCTCCGACCAAGCCAAGGACCTGCTGCGCCAAATGCTGCACCCCGACCCCGCCAAGCGCCCCTCCGCGCACGAAGTGCTCTGTCAGTCGCGCTTCCCTTACATGCACCGCCTGCCCCTCCGCTATTCGTCGCCCCCGTGTTACTTTCTCATTCCGCCACCGTGTCCCATGCATTGCCTATCATGAAACCCCTTCCCTCCCCCCTCCCCCGCCTCATCAGCAGCTTCCCATCCCCAGCCCATTTACCCCCCATTCTCCTCCCCCTTCCCTCCCTGTCCGCATGCGTGGCTGCGTGGCGCAGGCCACCCGTGGCTGGCGGAGGCGGGAGTGGCGCAGACGGAGCCGCTGCCGCCCGTGGTGCTGACGCGGCTGAAGCAGTTCACGTCCATGGTGAAGATGAAGCGCATGGCCATGAAGGTATGCTCTCCCACAACAGATCCTGTGTGAATCAGTGATGAAGGAGGGGGGGCGGGGAACAATCTTTTAGCTTGCCAATTCAAGCAAGAGCTGTGCACAAAGTGAAGTGAAGTGAATGCAACAGAGAGGGAGCGGATTGTAGGGAAATGTGTGGAGCAGGCAGTTTTGATGTTGTCGCCACACCACTGATCAGCACAAAGCATGACATGCCACGCGAGGCACATTGCATGCACCCTCCATGCCTCGCCACCCACCCCTCCCATCACCACCCATGCGCGTCCCACCATGGTCCGCAGCACCTCACCCCACCTCCCCCACTTCCCCTTGCCTTCCACTCCCCTTTACCCCCAACAACCCATGCACCACCCCCACCCCCACCGCACCTCCGTCCGCACATGGCGGGGCGTGAGTGTGAGCAGGTGATAGCAGAGGGGCTGAAGGAGGAGGAGATCCGCGGGCTGAGGGAGCTGTTTGAGGCCATGGACACGGACCACAGCGGCACCATCACCATGACTGAGCTGCGTGACGGACTCAAGAAGTACGGCGCCAACCTCAGCGACGCTGAGATCAGCAGAATCATGGAGGAGGTGCGATGGGGGGAATTGTGGAGGAGGTGCGATGTGCGGAATTATGCAGGAGTTGAGATGTGCGGAATTGTGGATAGTGTAAGAGGAGGGCAATGAAGCAGGAGGTGAGGCGAGGTGAAGCATGGAGAACGGGGGAGTGCAGTGCAGTGCAGTGCAGTGCAGTGCAGTGCAGTGGTGTGATGGCTCGATGGAGAGCCAGGGGGGGGGGGGAGGGGTCATGGGCAGGGCGCAGCGCAGGTGGGGCACGGCAGCGTGGTGGTGCTTAGCAGACTACATTACTCATGCTATGTGGCATTCTGTTATGCTGGTATGCTGGGTGGATGGTGGCCATGTGTTGGCATGGTGGGCATAAAATGTCATGTGTTGGCATGGTGGGCATAAAATGTCATGTGTTGGCATGGTGGGCATAAAAATGGCATGTGATGGCATGGTCGGCATGCGACTTGTATTCCATGGCATATGACGGCACGCTGTAATTGATGGCATGGTGGGCATATGATGGCATGGCATGCCCCTTGCAGACGGACATAGACCAGAGTGGGGAGATCGAGTATGGGGAGTTCCTGGCAGCGACGCTGAATCTGAGCAAGATAGACAAGCAGGAGAATCTTCTCAAGGCGTTTGCCTTCTTTGACACGGACGGCAGCGGCACCATCACGCTGGACGAGCTGCAGAAGGCGTGTGAGCAGCTCAAGATGTCCACCGGCGAGGTCGAGGCCATGATGCGCGAGGTCGACGAAAACAAGGTCCGTGCGCGCTGCTGGGGGGAAATGGGGTGGGGGAAAGGGAGGTTTGGACGAGGAGGGGAGGGGGAGGACGGTTTGGGCATGGAGGGGTTAGGGGCTGGGCGGAAGTCAGCGTCGTGTGAGCGTCGTACACTAAGTCTGTGCTTTGCCGTGTGTATTTTTTCTCCACTGGAATGCAATCTGCTGCTATCATGTGATTGCCTGACCGGTTTTCTAATCACAATGAGTGCAGGATGGGACGATTGACTACCAGGAGTTTGTGGCGATGATGAGGAAGACACAGACAGGGGGGCTCACTCGCCGAGACATCATGGATGGCAATTACGGCCTCACAGATAAAGAGCTCGGAAGCGAATCTTTCCGTTTCTTGCTCAGCTGATAGCTTCGCAGGATCTTGTCACTGCCTAAGCTCTGGTTCAACGAATGTAGGAGTTGTCTGAGATGTTAGCTCTTGTAACTTTATTTGAATTGCTCTTAGTGCTGCATCTCCCTCGTATGTTCGTACTCCCTAACTTACGTAACGTGGTTTCAGCGCATCACGTTTTCGTAAATTGTACGTCGCAAATTTCAGTCGGCTGGAGTGGAGATGGTATGCCTGTTTGAATGGTCGCCACGTCGGCTAATCCCGATGACGTGGCTGTATCTTGGAAATAACCCCAATCGCTTGGTTCTTGGGAATTGTGGAACTCAATTCGAATTGCAGCGCCTGGAAATATGCGCGCTCTCCTAGATTGCCCCGTCCTCCACGCCCTCCCCCTCCCCGCCTCCATTGTGCCTTGCGCCCTCGGCTCCGCTAATCTAGGTACACACAATGCTCACCTGCTGCGTGCGAATTTGATCTGTTACCTGTCTAAACTCTGCCCACGAGCAATTGGTGACGGGAAGTTGCACCCTGTTTACAAGCTCCCCAAACAAGTTGCACTGGTTATGAACCAATGGTAACGAAGTGACTGAAGTCGAATTTTGCAGAGACTGAAGTCAAAAAGTCAACGAATTGTTACAAAATTTTTAATAAGCCCTTTTTGCTAGCTGCGACATCACGAAACCTCCGCGAAATGCAAGAAACACTTACACGCCCAAAGGGTAAGGCAAGTACCGGGGGCTCTCTCGAGCATCGCGTGTACGCCCCCCTCTGCAGCCACCTCCCTCGACATCTCTCGCCCACAATCCCGCCCCTCCGCGCCACATGAGCGCCCAGCAGAACAACAGCCACGAATATTCGTTCGTGCAATACAGAAGAGTTGAGGTGATCACAGCAGGCGTAGAGATTTCAGGTGAGGCATGGCGCACAGGCAGCAATAGGCTTCGTCCCTGTCGACCGCCAGAGCGGACCACCAGAGCTCTCGGTGCGGCCGTGTTCATCGCGGCATTGCCTCTACGTTGCGCCGTTTCAGCCATGGCTGCTCTGAACCAGAGTGCAGTCCTCCAGCCATGTACGGTTCGTGTCATGCTTCTGCCCAACACCCCTCACTCTGCCCAATCCCCGTTTGCTCTGCCCAATCCCCGTTTGCTCTGCCCAATTACCGCGATTCGCTTTCAAAATCCATTCAGTGGTGTCACAAATTCATGAAATTCACATGAACGTAGATTCACCGGCAATCCGAAGCATCGTGGGGATGAAATGCGTCCCGCTCTCCCCTCTCTCCCCGCCATTGTCTCAGCGCGTCTCGCTATCGGTCAGTCGGCCCACCGCACCTCCACTCGTCGCATCGAATGCACGCCCGCCTTCGCGCCATGCGTCAGCCACGCGCCCCTCTCCTTCGTTGCGCCATCAGCCGTCAGGGCCCGCCCGCTCCGCGCCAATCAGAGCAGTCGACGACCGCATTCGAGGCGGCTGGTCGTTCGTGCGGCAGAAGGCGACGAGGGCGCAATCGCACGCCGGGTGGATGAAGCGCAGGTCGGGGAGGCGAGCAGCAGGGGCGCTGGTGATGGCGCAAGGGGGGAAGCCGCGGGCGATAGCGGCGGAAATGGTGCGCTTTCGGCGGGGACGGGTGTAGATTCCGCGGATGCGCTGGTCGGCGCGAGTGGAGCGCGAGGCGAGTCGGCATCGTCGGTATCAGGGGGAGGGGCATCGGCGTCGTCGTCTCCGCAGTGGTGGAGCGGCGTGTGGGGCGCGGGGGGCTGGCAGAAGCGGTGGAGCATCGTGGTGCTTTGCTTCTTCGCCTTCCTGCTCTGTAACATGGATCGCGTGAGTCGCCTTCCTGCTCTGTAACATGGATCGCGTGAGTCGCCTTCCTGCTCTGTAACATGGATCGCGTGAGTCGCCTTCCTGCTCTGTAACATGGACCGCGTGAGTCGCCTTCCTGCTCTGTAACATGGACCGCGTGAGTCGCCTTCCTGCTCTGTAACATGGACCGCGTGAGTCGCCTTTCTGCTTTGTAACATGGACCGCGTGAGTCGCCTTCCTGCTCTGTAACATGGACCGCGTGAGTCGCCTTCCTGCTCTGTAACATGGACCGCGTGAGTCGCCTTCCTGCTCTGTAACATGGACCGCGTGAGTCGCCTTCCTGCTCTGTAACATGGACCGCGTGAGTCGCCTTTCTGCTCTGTAACATGGACCGCGTGAGTCGCCTTTCTGCTTTGTAACATGGACCGCGTGAGTCGCCTTCCTGCTCTGTAACATGGACCGCGTGAGTCGCCTTCCTGCTCTGTAACATGGACCGCGTGAGTCGCCTTCCTGCTCTGTAACATGGACCGCGTGTGTCGGGGGGGGGGGGGGAAGGGGGACCATGCAATGCAACATGCTCCACGGGAATCACGGCGGGTGGGGAAGTGGGGGAATGCATCATGCACCGTGCGACGCATGGGGACCGAAAGTGCAGTATGCTGGGCACGTCGTTGGGCTAGCACGATGGACGAGGCTCTGCCGGCCTAGTGGGCGTGCCAGCATGCATGCGCGCATACCCATGTTGCTCCACGTTGCGGACCGCTCATGCGCGTCCCACCGCTCATGCGCGTTCCACCGCTCATGCGCGTCCCACCGCTCATGCGCGTCCCACCGCTCATGCGCGTCCCACCGCTCATGCGCGTTCCACCGCGCTCTGCATGCAAACTGCAAACTCTGCCCTCCTCCTAAGACCCTCATTCCCTTCCCCCTTCCAATGTGGTGGTACGGGCGTGGCAGGTGAACATGAGCATAGCGGTGCTGCCCATGGCGGAGCAGTTCCAGTGGTCGCCCGCCACCGTGGGGCTCGTGCAGTCCTCCTTCTTCTGGGGCTACCTCCTCACGCAGGTACACTGCCGCTCGGCCTACCCTCCTCACGCACGCGTGTGCCCCTCACGCAGGTACCTCACTCGTGTGTGCGCTGCACTCAACACTCACACACTGCCTTGCCGGTATCTTGCCACTTGTTTTGCCGTGCCGTGCCGCTATGCTGTATGACCACTTTCTACACTGTTGCTCCCCTCTCCCTCCCCTCCCTCTTTCACCCCCCTCCCCTTCCGTGCGCACGCCCCTCCCCCTCGAGCATGGCAGGTGGCGGGGGGGGTGTGGGCGGACACGATAGGGGGCAAGCAGGTGCTGGGCTTCGGGGTGGTGTGGTGGTCGCTCGCCACCGTGCTCACCCCCATCGCCGCCACGCTCGGCCTGCCCGCACTGCTCTTTGCTCGCGCCTGCATGGGCGTCGGGGAGGTCAGCGCACCCTCCCTCCCGCCATCCCCCCCTCGTCGTTGCCCACCCTTCTTCGCCTCTGCCACTCGTCACTCCACTGCTCCCACCTGCTTCCCTCTACCCACCTGCTTCCCTCTACCCACCTGCTTCCCTCTACCCACCTGCTTCCCTCTACCCACCTGCTTCCCTCTACCCACCTGCTTCCCTCTACCCACCTGCTTCCCTCTACCCACCTGCTTCCCTCTACCCACCTGCTTCCCTCTACCCACCTGCTTCCCTCTACCCACCTGCTTCCCTCTACCCACCTGCTTCCCTCTACCCACCTGCTTCCCTCTACCCACCTGCTTCCCTCTACCCACCTGCTTCCCTCTACCCACCTGCTTCCCTCTACCCACCTCCTTCCCTCTACCCACCTCCTTCCCTCTACCCGCCTGCTTCCCTCTACCCGCCTGCTTCCCTCTACCCGCCTGCTTCCCTCTACCCGCCTGCTTCCCTCTACCCGCCTGCTTCCCTCTACCCGCCTGCTTCCCTCTACCCGCCTGCTTCCCTCTACCCGCCTGCTTCCCTCTACCCGCCTGCTTCCCTCTACCCGCCTGCTTCCCTCTACCCGCCTGCTTCCCTCTACCCGCCTGCTTCCCTCTACCCGCCTGCTTCCCTCTACCCGCCTGCTTCCCTCTACCCGCCTGCTTCCCTCTACCCGCCTGCTTCCCTCTACCCGCCTGCTTCCCTCTACCCGCCTGCTTCCCTCTACCCGCCTGCTTCCCTCTACCCGCCTGCTTCCCTCTACCCGCCTGCTTCCCTGTACCCGCCTGCTTCCCTCTACCCGCCTGCTTCCCTCTACCCGCCTGCTTCCCTCTACCCGCCTGCTTCCCTCTACCCGCCTGCTTCCCTCTACCCGCCTGCTTCCCTCTACCCGCCTGCTTCCCTCTACCCGCCTGCTTCCCTCTACCCGCCTGCTTCCCTCTACCCGCCTGCTTCCCTCTACCCGCCCGCTTCCCTCTACCCGCCCGCTTCCCTCTACCCGCCCGCTTCCCTCTACCCGCCCGCTTCCCTCTACCCGCCCGCTTCCCTCTACCCGCCTGCTTCCCTCTACCCGCCTGCTTCCCTCTACCCGCCTGCTTCCCTCTACCCGCCTGCTTCCCTCTACCCGCCTGCTTCCCTCTACCCGCCTGCTTCCCTCTACCCGCCTGCTTCCCTCTACCCGCCTGCTTCCCTCTACCCGCCTGCTTCCCTCTACCCGCCTGCTTCCCTCTACCCGCCTGCTTCCCTCTACCCGCTTGCTTCCCTCTACCCGCCTGCTTCCCTCTACCCGCCTGCTTCCCTCTACCCGCCTGCTTCCCTCTACCCGCCTGCTTCCCTCTACCCGCCTGCTTCCCTCTACCCGCCTGCTTCCCTCTACCCGCCTGCTTCCCTCTACCCGCCTGCTTCCCTCTACCCGCCTGCTTCCCTCTACCCGCCTGCTTCCCTCTACCCGCCTGCTTCCCTCTACCCGCCTGCTTCCCTCTACCCGCCTGCTTCCCTCTACCCGCCTGCTTCCCTCTACCCGCCTGCTTCCCTCTACCCGCCTGCTTCCCTGTACCCGCCTGCTTCCCTGTACCCGCCTGCTTCCCTGTACCCGCCTGCTTCCCTCTACCCACCTGCTTCCCTCTACCCACCTGCTTGTCTCTCCCCCTCCACGTCCGCCCACCTGCTGGGACGCTTCCATCACCCCCTCCACCTGTCTCGAACTTCCCCCAATCTTTTCTCTATTCCCACCCTTCCCATCCCTCTCCCTCCCCCACCCCAACCTTGGCCCCCTCCCCCATCACCGCCCCCCAACCGCCCACCAGGGAGTGGCCATGCCAGCCATGAACAACCTGCTGTCCAAGTGGGTGCCCGTAGGCGAGCGCAGTCGCTCACTCGCGCTCGTGTACAGCGGCATGTACCTGGGCAGCGTGGCGGGGCTGTCGCTGTCACCCGCCATCATCCATGCCTTGGCCTGGCCCTCCGTCTTCTACACCTTCGGTGCCCTCGGCCTCGTCTGGTTCGCCTTATGGCAGACCAAGGTGCGCCCTGCACTGCTGGCGGGCCAAGGTGTGCTGCATGCCCTGCTCCATGCACTGCACGAATGCTGGTAGAAAAGAAAAAAGAATTTCGACAAATAAAATCAAAAATAAAATAATGGCTAAAATTACCACCTAGCCCTTGGCTGCCCCCTGCACCACAGCCTAACCACCTCCCTCCCCCACTCCCCCTCACCCTCCCTCGCCAGGCGTTCAGCTCGCCCGCAGAGGACCCCACTGTGTCGGCCGCAGAGAGGGCGCTCATAGCAGACGCGGGCGCATGGAAGGGGCAGGGGGCGGGCAAGGGGCAGCAGGGGGGAGGGGGGCCGCACCTGGAGGGCGGTGAGCCGCTGCGGCTGTCAACAATCCCGTGGAAGCTGCTGCTGAGCAAGGCGCCTGTGTGGGCCATCATCATCTCCCACTTCTGCCACAACTGGGGCGTCTTCATCCTCCTCACCTGGATGCCCACCTACTACCATGATGTGAGGCATACGCATGCCCACCTACTACCATGATGTGAGGCATACGCATGCCCACCTACTACCATGATGTGAGGCTTGTGAGGCTTAGGCATGCCGTGCCCACCTGCTGTTACAATGCGAGCCATGCTCACCTCATGTGTGCCACGGCCCTGCCACCCACCCAGTCACGAACATACAAGCCCCCTTAATCCCCTAATTTATGCATGTCACCAACCCCCGTGTGTGCCACGCACGCGGCACGTGGGCACGTGGGCATGTGGGTACATGTGAGCATTCACAGGTGTTGGGCTTCAACCTGACGGAGTCGGGGCTGTTTGCAGTGCTGCCGTGGCTCACCATGGCCATCGCCTCCAACGTCGGTGGCTGGATCGCCGACACCCTCATTGCCAGGGGGCTCTCCGTCACCCTCGTGCGAAAGGTGGGGCTCTCCGTCACCCTCGTGCGAAAGGTGGGGCTCTCCGTCACCCTCGTGCGAAAGGTGGGGCTCTCCGTCACCCTCGTGCGAAAGGTGGGGCTCTCCGTCACCCTCGTGCGAAAGGTGGGGCTCTCCGTCACCCTCGTGCGAAAGGTGGGGCTCTCCGTCACCCTCGTGCGAAAGGTGGGGCTCTCCGTCACCCTCGTGCGAAAGGTGGGGCTCTGTCCCCCTTCCTCGCGCACCCCCACTTCTCCCCGCTTTCTCTCCTCTCAGACTCAACCTTCATTTCGCCAATATGCCTCTACATGAAGCCTCTACATGAAGCCTCTACATGAAGCCTCTACATGAAGCCTCTACATGAAGCCTCTCCATGAAGCCTCTACATGAAGCCTCTACATGAAGCCTCTACATGAAGCCTCTCCATGAAGCCTCTACATGAAGCCTCTACATGAAGCCTGTACATGAAGCCTGCTCTTCTCGTGTCCTTGGTACCAAATCATGTCTGCCGCCCCACCACCGACCTCCCCCACCACAGGTGATGCAGAGCATTGGCTTCCTGGGACCGGCCATCTGCCTCTCACTGCTCTCCACGGTCAAGTCGCCAGTGGCTGCCATCGCACTGCTCATGCTCTCCCAGGTACCGCCCCCCCCCACCCCTCCACCTGCTGCTGCCTCTCACTGTACCTCACTCGCTTTCTCTTCCTGCATCTGTCTTGGATTCTCCCATGCCCCCTGCATCCATGCTACCTTGCGCCATGCCCCGTGCATCCATGCTACCTTGCGCCATGCCCCGTGCATCCATGCTACCTTGCGCCATGCCCCCTGCATCCATGCTACCTTGCGCCATGCCCCGTGCATCCATGCTACCTTGCGCCATGCCCCGTGCATCCATGCTACCTTGCGCCATGCCCCATGCACCTCCCCCCCACAGGGCACGGACGCCTTTTCACAGTCGGGGCTCTACTCCAACCATCAGGACATCGGCCCGCGCTACGCGGTCAGTGCCTTCCCACTGCCACGCGTTCTCTGCCTGCCTCTGTGCCCCTCTTGCACGCGTCCTGCCCTTCTCACTCCCCTCGTCCCTCACCCACCCCGTTCTTCCCCTCTCACTTGCCTCACCACCCCGTTCTTCCCCTCTCACTTGCCTCACCACCCCTGTCTCTCCACCGTGCCTGCTCGCCGTGCCTCAGGGCATTCTGCTGGGTCTGTCCAACAGTGCTGGTGTGCTGGCAGGGGTCTTCGGCACCTATGTCACGGGGCAGATCCTGCAGAACGGTACGTCACGCACTCCAACTGATCCCTTCAACAGCCTTGGGCCTGGCAACGCCCTGCCGTACTGCCTCCCCCATACAGCCGTCTCAAGAGCACCACCTTCCCTCCCCTCTCACCCTCTCTCGTGTGCTGTGTGGTGGCAGGATCGTGGGACGAGGTGTTCACGGTAGCCGTGGCGCTCTACCTGGTGGGCACTGTTGTGTGGAACGTCTTCGCCACTGGGGAGAGGGTCTTTGACTGACTCACTGCCTACCTCCTCACCTCCTGGGCTTGCTTGTTTGCAAGCTTGGGGTAGGATGCAATGTAAAATCACGATGTCAGAATTACTACAATTTATTTGATCCTTTAAAACATCTTCACAAAAGACAGGTTGTGATTGTGACGTCTAGATTCCTGTGTCATCACTACTACCGTACAGTATGGTACATGTACTGGTAGAATTTTAGGGATTTTTATGTATCTTCCTCTTCCCATAGTTACGGTACTAGGTTGCTAAACAAGTTGCATACCGTAGGTAGCTCACAGCTGGACAAGGCACAAGAAAACTTTAGGGTTGACGTTCAAAATGCATGACGATCTGTGAGAAGTGTGAATTTACGGTACTTGTGTACATGCAAGCAAACTGAGCATATCCCCCACCCCAAATGCAGCCACAGGTTGGGGTAGTCACAAGTTCGTGATTCCGGATCATTGCCAGTGGGCATCAATGATGAGATGAGAGCACATGCAGTGACTCAGAGCGCCAAGAATGCCACAGTCACAACAGCGGCAATGAGAATGGTGCCTTTCGTCAGACAGTATTGACCTGCCACAGATCGCAACAATCAGAAACAGTGAGAGCGAATAAAACAAGTATGCCACGTGTGACGCCACACGCAGAGACTGAACATCCTCCCAGCCCCCCTCTCACCTGCACCAGCACTGCCAGGAGTGTCGTTGCTCCCCGGCGCTCGCACAGGGGCGGGAGGAGCCGTTGTGCCCCCCTCACTGCCAGGAGGCGGAGGGATGTCCGCGCTACCAGGAGGAGCGGCGCTAGGAGTCGGCGCCGAACCGATCATTGGTTCGGAGGCAGGAGCAGAGGCTGGGGCCGATCCTGGCGCGGCAGCAGGCTCGGATGCTGGCGCTGGGGCAGGGGCGAGACCAGAGGGGCTGGGGGCAGCAGCAGGGACAGGAGCAGGACCCGGAGAGGAGGAGGGGGCAGGCGTGGGGGCGACGGAAGGCGCTGAAGCAGGGGAGACCGAGGAACTGGGCGCGGCAGAGGGAGTGGGCGCGGCAGAGGGAGTGGGCGCGAGTGTGGGCGCGGGCGAAGGGGCAGTGGCGGAGCTGGGAGCTGGAGCCGGGGAAAGGACTGGAACGGACGGCTGTTGCGATAGAGTTGGTGGCGCGCCCAGAGCGAGCAGGAGCACAAGGAAGACGGCGGAGAGTGCAGAACCCATATCGGTTCAGAGGGACAACGAGGAGGTGAGACTCAGGAGTTGCGCTGAGTTTGAATACGAACACGGCTGAAAGATGGCGTGGAAAGGCACGGTTATAAGTCCCGCCGTTAACCCTCGTCTAGGTCGCGCCGATACCTTGGGCCCAGAAGCACCTCGCTCACGGTCAACCTCATTTTCGCGACAAGTCACATTGTGGCGACGGTCACATCTTCTGATGCTGACTGCTGAGGCCGAATCCAATATGACTCCTCGTCGACCATTTCACGCGACGTCGTGACGCCTTGAAAGTGCAGGACAGGAGACCCGTTGAAGAATGCATGCCGTCAGCTAGGCGTATAGCGTGTCCTGAGTCAGAAGAAATTTGTGACGTGATGTGGGACTTATACGAAAAGCATGCCGTCACGACAGACGGAAGGATCGAGCACTGGAGCAAAGCAGTGAAGACACGACAGGTCGCAGGAGGAAAGGGCTCCACCCTGCAACATTCCCGGCTGCACTGGACATGGGTGACGGGGGTCTTCACAAAGTTCCCCCGCAAGGAAGCGCGTTTTCATACCGTGCCATTGCAGCTCTCTTTGTCTACATCCATATTTGAAGGGCAAAATAAGTTGCATTATAATGACACTGGCATTTCATAATTACCACCTTTAGTATGGTAATATTTTACCTGTAACTTTGCACTATGAGGCAGCAACTGAATGACATCCGGGCCCTTCAATTATTATAACACCTTCGCTACAATAGCTGGTCAACTTCAGTACAACACGAGCATGTTTGAATCGTAATCAACATCATGTTACACCTTCTGCACATATAGCACAACCACCTGTGAAGTCAACTGAGTGAGTATGTGGGCCTTCTGCAGCAACACACTGCAATGCCGTGTCAATGGGCGTGTGTGACACCAGAACTGCACTTCCCCAAACCTTTGTACCCCTGCGTCCTCACCATGCACCCTTGCCCTTCATCAGCCATGCAACAGCAGGCATGTCTGCGGGCGGCTGCCGTGCAATGGCTTGCAGGCATCAGCACACGTGTGCATTCACGCGAGCGCGGTACATCTCCAGCACCTCCTCACTCTGTGTCCCGTCCGTCTCCACCACAGCGGACGCCAGCAGCTTGTTGCTCCCCGCGGGCACAAAGAAAATGTCCCCCACGTGCACGCCCTGCACGTATGATGGCGCCGCAGCCACTGCTGCCGCGCACCCATGCACCTTAATCAGCCCGTTGGCTGGGGCCACCGAGATGGCTCCAGACCCGCGGAACACCAGCAGAATGGACGGCCCAGATATCTCCGGCAGGGCTGCTGTCTGCCCGAGGGGCACTGAGATCTTTTCGACCTCAAACTCCTCAAAGGGCGGCGTGTAGAGTGTGACGTGCGGGGTGACGCGGTCGCCGTTGAGCAGCTGGGGGCGGCCCTGGTTGTAGGTGAGCATGGTGGTGAGTGTGTCCGTGTCACGGTACTTGGGTGTGAGGCCCGCTCGCACCACGTTGTCAGACGCCGCCATGCACTCGATGCACTCGCCCGCCAGGTACGCGTGCGGCTCGTTGGCCGCCAGGCAGATGGCCTGGCCGGGCAGCAGCGTGACGTGGTTGAGGAAGAAGGCGGACAGCACGCCCACATCGCCCGGGTACTGCTGCTCCAGCCGCTGCACCAGCTGCTCCTTGTCCGACAGCTCGCGCTCCTGCACGCACCCATGGGTGGTCATGGCGGTCAGCCACATACATGGTTAGTGCTTGGTGCATGTGTGGGTGGAGGGACAGGTGGAGTGCATGCTGCATGGCACTGGGACCAGTGATCAAACAGGAAATGCCATTCCCAGTTGCATGACATAGCATGACATGGCATGTATCACAAGCAAAGGGCACATGCGAATCCTGGATGCAACAGTGACCATGGCAGCATGACATGGACACTTCGACTACGAGCCTGTTACAACCACGTCATGACGCACGCACCTTGGATTCGGCCTGCAGCCGCGCAACGAGGCTCGAGAGGTGCTTCTCAATCACGGCGCCGTCTTGCGTCATCAGCGCTCTGAACGCGTCCTTGAACGCCCTTCGCTCCGCACACTCCTGCGCTTCATGAGCGCCGTTGACGCCGTTGACCCCATTGACGCCGTTGACCCCATTGACTCCGTTGACTCCGTTCTTGCTGGCTCTCAGCACGCTGTCCGCCGTGTGTTCGCCGATGGCCATCCGCAGTTCCGGCACCGACTGAATGCTTTCGCGGAGTTCCTGCCATAGACAACAGCGGGCCCGTTATCGATTAGGCCAGGCTACAAGAGGGAGACAAACGTGGTCGCGAAACGAAGTGCTGCACAGCGCCATCGGTTGCACAACGCAACCTCGCATACCAACCACGCGCACTCGCTTACTTACCAGGCGCACGATCTCGCATGCTAGCGACGCGCATTGACCTCGCATGCTAGCCACGCGCACCAATCTGGCATACTAGTCACGCGCATCGACCTCGCATACTTACCATACGCACCGATCACGCATACTACACGCGCATCGACCTGACATACTAGCCACGCGCACCGACCTCGCATACTACCCACGCGCACCGACCTCGCATACTAGCCACGCGCACGGACCTCGCAGACTAGCCACGCGCACCGACCTCGCATACTAGCCACGCGCACCGACCTCGCATACTAGCCACGCGCACCGACCTCGCATACTAGCCACGCGCACCGACCTCGCATACTAGCCACGCGCACCGACCTCGCATACTAGCCACGCGCACCGACCTCGCATACTAGCCACGCGCACCGACCTCGCATACTAGCCACGCGCACCGACCTCGCATACTAGCCACGCGCACCGACCTCGCATACTAGCCACGCGCACCGACCTCGCATACTAGCCACGCACACCGACCTCGCATACTAGCCACGCGAACCGACCTCGCATACTAGCCACGCGCCCTTCTCAGCCGCGCACCCTTCCCTCGCGCCCTTCCACGATCCTCACCCGCGAGGTGACGAAGCCGCAGAGCGCCTCGAAGTTGGTGACGGCGAGCGCCATCTCGGGCTTGTGGTTGGCGTCCTTGTAGTTCTTCGGCTGCGTCGCGTGCAGCCGCTCCGCCAGCCGCTTGTCTGGGTGCGCCTGGATCGACAGCGCCTTCGCCACGCTCAGTACCTGCCGGGAGAGCACAATGACACATCAGCATGCGCTCGGTTGCTCAGCCTGCTGCGGTAAGGCATACTGAGTGATGGGCACGCGATATGCTTCTCAAAGTGCATGTTGCAGCCTGCCTTCATCAAGAAGGTTCCCTAACGCGTAATATAGAGGCAACATATTAAGGGAGAGGCGGAAAGATAGAATGGAAGCCGCCAGCTTCCACACGAAAATTTTAGGGTTTCAACGATCACAACCTGATTATTTATGAAGGCACAAACCCGATCCACTCACCATGCAGCAACGTACCTTGAAGAGGAATGGAAGCTGGCCGGGCCACTTGTGCTGCACCGTGGCGCCCAGAGCCTCGGGGTGCGCGTCGAGCCAGTCCTGCAACAGCTGCGGCTCGCCCGCTGCGGCGTCGGCCTTGACGAGAGCGGGGCACGAGGCATCGACCTCATCCGATTGCGCGGACGGCAGCACAAGCGACGGCCCGCTGGGGTGAGTGCCCATCCAGAGCTCGGCGTACGGCACGTCGTCCTTAGCCGCCTCCGCGCTGCCGCTCGTGCCCAGCGCGTAAAGCCGACCCACCGTGCTCCCGCTGCCCTTGATGCCCCAATCATACGTCTGCGCCACGCAGCGCATTCGAAGAATCGGCGGGTAGCTGCCAGCCATTGCCTTGGTAGTCGATCTGGTCGAGGATTAATTGGTATGTGCGAGGGAAGACAGGAGCACCTGAACTCCAGAGGCAGAATAAAGAGAGCCTGACAAGACGGATAAACGGTGTGACAATATGTACAAAGGTACAAGGTGTGTCTCACGACAATCCCAAAAACGCCTAAGACGATGTGGAAGCTCAAGAAAAACTGAACCTAGGATCCATGAAATAGTCTTGGGAGTTACTGAAGCCAGACTGGAAGCGGGGATCGCGCGCGCCAAGGTTGGGGGAGGGAGTGAAGAGGAGTGGAGAACTTCCCCGCTAGGACGGAGTTCGTGAATGCGGGAGACGGGGAAACGGGGAGTGCGCGGAGGGGAACAGCGCCCAACGGGACAGAAGCGTGGGCAGGAGAGGATGTCGTTTCGCACCACAAAGTGGAGTGCGCATCTGCGGGCAGTCGCATGCATCTCAGGTGGGGGAGGATCTCGAAGGGGTCAACGACACGACCACACAGAGGTCTGGGAAGCCGTGGCGAAGAGCATGCCTGGAAAATACTGGCCATTTGCGGCATCCCACGTGGAATAGGTCACTGTCTGTGCCTGCGGAGCGGTGGTCAGTGGGGAGAACGGTAGGACCTGGCACCTGCGGCTCGAAACTCCCACACAGTTCTCGTGGGAACATCTGGAGTTGCAGACGCCCACCAACTCCGAAAACGTTGGCGCGGAAGGCGTTATCCGTTGGAAGCAGGAAGCTTACGCATATAACACACTACACTTCTGCACTAGGTATACAAGGTATAAATCACAAAGTCAACATAATTGCACAGGCGTCCCTTGATGCATAGTTGCACAATAAAAAACTAGGGGCACTTCATAATTGAAGGCACAAAATCGGTTTGACATACGCTCTCTTTTATTTTTAGGACCAACTTCAGAGCTAGAACACAATCTATTGGAGCTTGTTGAAGAGCATTTCCACCCAAGCATCTGTAACTCCTCCTTCGCACCAATGAAGGCAGTCGTTCTTCTTTGTATCTGGTGCTCCCCCTGTGGCAAAACCGGGGAATTAGATTGGTCACAAAGTGTGTCCCACGTAAATTATTGTACTGGTAATAGGACATCAAACCAGCATTGTGTTCATAATCATCTTGCCAGTCCAAAGACATTGCTTTTGAAGCTAAACTCACCTTTGACGCTCCAGTTTTGGATGTGTCCATCGGGCCGCCAGTCGCTCATGGGCTTCACATCCACGTACACCACCGACGACCCCCCCAGAACACGCTGCTGGATGGCCCGCAGATCACTAGAGGAGCCGTCTCCACTGCGCACGGTGGCTGTCTGAGGAGGCAGGTTGGTATGGAGACACGGGGCGAGACGTTAGTGTCAGAATGCTATTATTGTCTAGCCTGCAGTGGGGTACTCTATAGCGAGTACAGCCCAATCTAGGGTTTGCTATTTGTACTCAACTGCCTGCTAGTTCAAACCCCTCTCTCCTTTCAATCATTCTTGCCTAGTGATTCTGACATGCTATCAGAGCAGGTCGACCCTCCTGGGTCGATCCTGTGGGTGGGCCCACCACCTAAGCCTTCCGCTGCTACTGCTACTGCTACTCCCTGTCCGCCGCGCGCCCCGTGGCGCGCGGCGTCGAAACTAGGGTTTTCAGCCCGCCGTGCGCCCCGAGGCACGCGGCGGTTTTCTGCCCGCCGTGCGCCTGCCCGCCGTGTGCCCCGAGGCGCGCGGCGGGTTCCTGCCCCGTCACTCGGCACGTCGCCCCCGGGAGGCGCTGCGACGGGCGACGGGGACCCGCGCGTCGCCCCCCGTCGCCCGTCGTGGCCTGCACGCGGCCCGTACACCCGGCACGCGGCCCGTACGGGCTGCGCCAGGCCTGCGCGCGGCCCGTACGGGCTGCGCCAGGCCCGCGCGCGGCCCGTACGGGCTGCGCCAGGCCCGCGCGCGGCCCGTACGGGCTGCGCCAGGCACGCGCGCGGCCCGTACGGGAAGCGCCAGGCCCGCGCGCGGCTCGGGCCGCCTGCGCGCGGTTCGGGCGGCTCTACCAGGCCCGTGGGCGGCCCGTTCCTCGCTGCTCCTGCCCTCTCCACTGTCCCCCGTGCTTCTACCGGCGCCTCACCCCTCCTACAGCCCGTTCTCCTAAATTAGGGTTTGGGGGTGAAGAGTGTGGGGGTGGCGGCTATGGGGGTGTCGGTTGTGAGTTCCTCCCCCTGCTCCTCCTCCTCCCTCGTCTCCCTCTGCTACAGCTGCCGCTGAGGGGGGTGGTGTGTGGGAGCCTAGGGTTTGGGGTTTAAGGGGGGTACCGTCGGAGTGGAGCTAGGGTGTCAGCAGGGGGTGTGTGAGAGGGGCGTGGGACGGTCGGGGGAGATTGCGTGGAGGTAGCCGTCGTGACGCCAGCAGCGCCAGTAGTCCGGATGCCCTCGCGCGTTTCGGTAGCCCAGCGAGCCTGCTTCGCCAGTCGCCTGTGGGTCCGTTGCTCCTGTGTGTGCTCGTCGTAGCCGCGGAGCCAGATACTCCCGTAGTCCGGTGCCCTCGTGCGCTCGGTAGCCACTGTGCGCGCCGCTCCTGTTGCCCGTGTGTCTGCAGCTTCAGTCGGCGCCTTTCATCTTCTCTCCTCTCGCCAGCCCTCCTCCTCCTCGCTTGCCCTCTGTGACTGCCTCTAGCTTTGCTCATAACTGTGAACTTTAAACTATTGCTTCTTGAACTTGTGCTCAGAATGTGTGGTGACATTGTGATCCACCCTGAGCTTGTACTGCTTGCTTGTTCTGCTGATTACACCCCACTTTGGCTATGGGGGTGTGTCAGAATGCTATTATTGTCTAGCCTGCAGTGGGGTACTCTATAGCGAGTACAGCCCAATCTAGGGTTTGCTATTTGTACTCAACTGCCTGCTAGTTCAAACCCCTCTCTCCTTTCAATCTTTCTTGCCTAGTGATTCTGACAGTTAGGAATGGAGATCTGACATGGAGCCGCTTAAAAGTAAAAAAAATGAAAGGTGGTTGTCATACCTCTCCTCTTTCCCTCTTTTTTGGTCTTCTCTCCCACAGGTGCTCCCTCCCTCCCTGCACTTCCCCCTCGCTCTCTCCCCTCCCACTGCGCTTCTCCCTCCCGCCCGCGCTTCTCTCTCCAGCCCGCGCTTCCCCCTGCCACCCATGCTTCCCCCTCCCACCCGCGCTTCCCCTTCCCACCCGTACTTCCACTTCCCACCCGTACTTCCCCTTCCCACCCGTACTTCCCCTCCCACCCGCGCTTCCCTTTCCCACCCACGCTTCCCCTCCCACCCGCGCTTCCCTTTCCCACCCGCGCTTCCCTTTCCCACCCGCGCTTCCCTTTCCTACCCGCGCTTCCCCTCCCACCCGCGCTTCCCTTTCCCACCCGCGCTTCCCCCTCCCATATGCTCTCCCCCCTCCCACCTGCGCTGCCCTTCCAACCTGCATTCACGTACCTGCACGCTGGTGAGCATAGAGTTGAACTTTGCACGACCCCTTCTTGACGCCCGCAACGGGCAAGTTGTAGTGCGACGGCGACACGCCCATCACCACGGCGCGCCCCTTGAACCCGCCGCCGCTGCTCGCCACGTAGTCCCGCAGCGTCGTCAGTCCGCGCTCGTACGCCGCCGTCGCCTTCATCGTCACCTCCTTGCCGCCCACGTACCACCGGTTGATGGGCGGCATCCACCACGCCGTCGCCTGCGCCACATACCACGGAGGGCGATGCGCCGGGAGGAGAGAAATGGAATATGGAAACCCGAAGTGGGCTCGCTGTAAGCTCTCATTCCTACGCTGATCTGTGCCAAGCGGAGCTTGCAGGATGACGCGACGGCAGGCGCGGATGCGAGGAAAGGCGCGGATGCGAGGCAGGGCGAAGATGCGAGGAAAGGAGTGGATGCGAGGCAGTGCGAAGATGCGAGGAAAGGAGTGGATGCGAGGCAGGGCGAAGGTGCGAGGACATGAGCAGATGCGAGGCACGGCTCGGATGCGAGGCAGGGCGCAAAAGCGAGGCAGGGCGCGGAAGCAAGGCAGGGCGCGGAAGCAAGGCAGGGCGCGGAAGCAAGGCAGGGCGCGGAAGCAAGGCAGGGCGCGGAAGCGAGGCAGGGCGCGGAAGCGAGGCAGGGCGCGGGTGCGAGGGTGGGCGCGAAAGCGAGTCGGAGGGCAAAACTGGCCTGGAAGATGACGATGTCAGCGATGGGCAGCAAGTCCTTGATGCGCTGATCCAGGCCGTCCAGGTCAATGCGGTGTTGCTCGATGCCGTTCTTGTCGGGCAGGGTGGTGGCGTTGTTGAGCCAGTTGGAGAACACGGACACGAAGCGGATCTTGTACGTCGGGAACTGCGCACTCACGCCGGGCCGCACGCCGCACCACATAGAGAGTGAGATGGTGGACGGATGCTGGACTAAGATGGTTGTGATGCAACGCAACGTGGGAGATGCAACGCAACGTGAGGCGCATGCATATGCGTTGTGTTTTAGGGGTACGGCGCCTCAACGTCTGCCGCACGTACCTCGACGCCCCACTCGGTGGTTTTCTTCTGCGCCAGGCGGTACGACCTAGCGGCGGTAGAGTCGGCGGCGTGCAGCATGCACTGCAGCGACGCGGCGAAGTTCTTGGAGAGCGAGTCGCCGAACACCAGCACCAGCTTGCCGCGAAACATCTCCGCCAAACTCTGCGGCGACACGCGCTTCACAGAGCATCCCCTGGGCTGTAGGGGGGGCAAGGAAGCACATCGGGTGTGCGAGAGGAGAGAGCACGAGCGTGCGCGGAGTGGTGAGGAATACCAAGATCTATACACTCACTGGTCGACGGACGCACCTGCCAGCGGAACTTCTGGAACGACATGTCCGGGCGGCCCTGCTTGAGGCAGTTCTGCGATGTGCGGATGTATGGACACGAGTTGCCTGTGTAGAGCGGTAACTTGCTGTCCGCTACCCACTTGCCCCGCGAGATGTCGCAACTCCATGATGACTGCGCCGCGCACTTCAAGAGGCAGGTTAAAAAGACTACCACGAAAATTGGGGAATTGAATCTATATCTCTCTCCCATCACGTTGGCTTCGTTAGGAGTTCCCTGCCTTGTTCACTAGTAGCGTGATTCACGAGCTCTGGAGTCCAGCTTCTCAATTCCTGTTCCCAAGCCTCTTCAGCATTTCATTTGTTACAGCCTCACATCATTTACACCATTTGACGAACCGCATGTGATGGCGGCCCGAGCTTTCTCATGGTCATGGGCCGCCCACCGTCACAACACAATGCATACACGGACTGGTTCCAGTCAGCAGCGCAAATCGGCGGGAGGCAAAACTTCCAGCGTTCCCGCGCAAACGGCAGACTGTGAACGGTGCGCCCAAGAACATCTTGGAGCAGCACACAACAAGCTAAAAAAGCCACTCACTAAACTAGTCAAGTATAGATATGTATGAGAATTTAGATAAAGCACTAAATCGCCTAAGCAAGAAGAAGAAAGTATAAAAAACCAATAACGAGCAGGACCACACTCACTGTGGACACCTGCAAAGGCCCAAAATGAATGTTGAAGAAGTGTCATGAAAAGCTTTAAGCATATGAAAGACAAACGTTCTTCGAGCACGAATCACGATGCAACGATAACATGCCAAAGTTAAAACTGAAAATGTTGCGAAAAGTAAATTGGCGGCGCTGCCCCGTGTCACTTCACATGGAAGCCCCGTGTCCATTCATGCCAGTAGTAGTACGGGGGTGGGAGAAAGGGGGAAAGAGAGGGGTGACATGAGGGAGGTGGACTAAGGGCAATGGAGCGGGGAGGTGGGTGGTCGTGCATGGCTGCTTTTGAGACGTCTCAAAACAACACTTTTATCACGGAGGAAGTGGACTGAGGGCCATAGAGGGAGGAGGTGGCCAGCCCTGTGTGTGTTGCTGCGCTGCCCCGTGCAAGTGCCGCTTCAACCCTCCCACGCACTTGCTGGCTTGGTAGTAGGCCCAGATGAGCGCAGCCACGTGACCCGGCGGAAGAAAAACGCTCGGAACAAGCGCTTCTAGCACCAAAACGCGGAAGGATCTGCACATGTGCTCGGAACGAGCGTTTCCACCCCAGAAAAGAAAAAGGATCCGCACATGTGCAGGACATGCAGCGGGTGCACTCCCATGACAGATGACGCTTGCAACCCTCCCACACCCTTGCTGGCTTGGTAATAGGACCAGACAAGTGTAGCCACATGACCCAGCCGAAGAAAAACACTCAGAACGGGTGCTTCCACCTCCAAAACGCGGAAGGATCCGCACATGTGCAGGAAGTGCAGCGTGCGCTCTTCATTCGCGAGCGCCGATGACCGATGATGCTCGCAACCCTTCCACGCCCTTGCTAGCTTGGTAATAGGACCAGACAAGCGCAGCCAAATGACCCGGCGGAAAAAAAAACGCTCGGAACGAGCGCTTCCACCCCCAAAACGTGGAAGGATCCGCACACGTGCAGGAAGTGCAGCAAGCGCTCTTCATTCACGAGCGCCGATGACCGATGATGCTCGCAACCCTCCTACGCCCTTGCTGGCTTGGCAATAGGACCAGACAAGCACAGCCACGTGACTTGGCGGAAGAAAAACGCTTGGAATGAGCGCTTCTACCCCCAAAATGCTGAAGGATCCGCATTCGTGCAGAAAGTGCAGCATGCGCTCTTTTTTTGCGAGCGCCGATGACCGATGATGCTCGCAACCCTCCCGCGCCCTTGTTGGCTTGGAAATAGGACCAGACAAGCGCAGCCACGTGACCCGGCGAAAGAAAAACGCTTGGAATAAGTGCTTTTACCCCAAAAATGCTGAAGGATCTGCACACGAGTACGAAGTGCAGCGGATGCTCTTCATTCGTGAGCGCCGATGACCGATGATGCTCGCAACCCTTCCACGCCCTTGCTGGCCTGGCAAGAGGACCAGGCAAGCACAACCATGTGACCCGGCGGAAGAAAAACGCTTGGAATGAGCGCTTCTACCCCCAAAATGCTGAAGGATCCGCATTCGTGCAGGAAGTGCAGCGGACGCTCTTCATTTGCGAGCGCCGATGACCGATGATGCTCGCAACCCTCCCACGCCCTTGCTGGCTTGGTAAGAGGACCAGACAAGCGCAGCCACATGACTTGGCGGAAGAAAAACGCTTGGAATGAGCGCTTCCACCCCCAAAACGCGGAAGGATCCGCACACGTGCAGGAAGTGCAGAGGGCGCTCTTCATTCGCGAGCGCCGATGACCGATGATGCTCGCAACCCTCCCACGCCCTTGCTGGCTTGGTAATAGGACCAGAAAAGCGCAGCCACGTGACCCGGTGGAAGAAAAACGCTCGGAACGAGCGCTTTCACCCCCAAAACGCGGAAGGATCCGCACATGTGTAGGAAGTGCAGCGGGCGCTCTTCATTCGCGAGGGCCGATGACCGATGATGCTCGCAACCCTCCCACGCCCTTGCTGGCTTGGCAATAGGACCAGACAAGCGCAGCCACGTGACCCGGTGGAAGAAAAATGCTCGGAACGAGCGCTTCCACCCCCAAAACGCGGAAGGATCCGCACATGCGCAGGAAGTGCAGCGGGCGCTCTTCATTCGCGAGCGCCGATGACCGATGATGCTCGCAACCCTCCCACGCCCTTGCTAGCTTGGCAAGAGGCCTAGACAAGCGCATCCACGTGACCTGGCGGAAGAAAATCGCTCGGAACGAGCCCTTCTAGTACCCCCAAAACGCGGAAGGATCCGCACATGTGCACGAAACGCAGTAGGCGCTCTTCATTCGCGAGCGCCGATGACCGATGATGCTTGCAACCCTTGCTGGCTTGGCAAGAGGACCAGACAAGCACAGCCACATGACGGTGGAAGAACAAGAGGACCAAACAACCCTGCATGGCAGGGTGGTGGCGTTGTTGAGCAAGTTGGAGAACAAGGGCCTAGCGTCTGCAAAATTGCAAGAACAAGGGCCTAGCGTCTGCAAAATTGCAAGAACAAGGGCCTAGCGAGTGCAAAAATTCAAGAACAAAGGCCTAGCGTCTGCAAAATAGCAAGAACAAGGGCCTAGCGTGTGCAAAATTGCAAGAACAAGGGCTTAGCGTGTGCAAAATGGCAAGATTAAGGGCCTAGCGTGTGCAAAATTGCAAGAACAAGGGCCTAGCGTCTGCAAAATTGCAAGAATAAGGGCCTAGTGTGAGCAAAATTGCAAGAACAAGGGCCTAGCGTGTGCAAAATTGCAAGAATTTGGGCCTAGCGTGTGCAAAAATGCAAGAACAAGGGCCTAGCGTCTGCAAAAATACAAGAACAAGGGCCTAGCGTGTGCAAAATTGCAAGAACAAGGGCATAGCGTGTGCAAAATTGCAAGAAAAAGGGCCTAGCGTGTGCAAAATTGCAAGAACAAGGGCCTAGCGTCTGCAAAACTGCAAGAACAAGGGCCTAGCGTGTGCAAAACTGCAAGAACAAGGGCCTAGCGTGTGCAAAACTGCAAGAACAAGGGCCTAGCGTGTGCAAAACTGCAAGAACAAGGGCCTAGGTTTAGGGTTTAGGGTTTAGGGCTTAGGGCTTAGGGCTTAGGGCTTAGGGCTTAGGGCTTAGGGCTTAGGGCTTAGGGCTTAGGGCTTAGGGCTTAGGGCTTAGGGCTTAGGGCTTAGGGCTTAGGGCTTAGGGCTTAGGGCTTAGGGCTTAGGGCTTAGGGCTTAGGGCTTAGGGCTTAGGGCTTAGGGCTTAGGGCTTAGGGCTTAGGGCTTAGGGCTTAGGGCTTAGGGCTTAGGGCTTAGGGCTTAGGGCTTAGGGCTTAGGGCTTAGGGCTTAGGGCTTAGGGCTTAGGGCTTAGGGCTTAGGGCTTAGGGCTTAGGGCTTAGGGCTTAGGGCTTAGGGCTTAGGGCTTAGGGCTTAGGGCTTAGGGCTTAGGGCTTAGGGCTTAGGGCTTAGGGCTTAGGGCTTAGGGCTTAGGGCTTAGGGCTTAGGGCTTAGGGCTTAGGGCTTAGGGCTTAGGGCTTAGGGCTTAGGGCTTAGGGCTTAGGGCTTAGGGCTTAGGGCTTAGGGCTTAGGGCTTAGGGCTTAGGGCTTAGGGCTTAGGGCTTAGGGCTTAGGGCTTAGGGCTTAGGGCTTAGGGCTTAGGGCTTAGGGCTTAGGGCTTAGGGCTTAGGGCTTAGGGCTTAGGGCTTAGGGCTTAGGGCTTAGGGCTTAGGGCTTAGGGCTTAGGGCTTAGGGCTTAGGGCTTAGGGCTTAGGGCTTAGGGCTTAGGGCTTAGGGCTTAGGGCTTAGGGCTTAGGGCTTAGGGCTTAGGGCTTAGGGCTTAGGGCTTAGGGCTTAGGGCTTAGGGCTTAGGGCTTAGGGCTTAGGGCTTAGGGCTTAGGGCTTAGGGCTTAGGGCTTAGGGCTTAGGGCTTAGGGCTTAGGGCTTAGGGCTTAGGGCTTAGGGCTTAGGGCTTAGGGCTTAGGGCTTAGGGCTTAGGGCTTAGGGCTTAGGGCTTAGGGCTTAGGGCTTAGGGCTTAGGGCTTAGGGCTTAGGGCTTAGGGCTTAGGGCTTAGGGCTTAGGGCTTAGGGCTTAGGGCTTAGGGCTTAGGGCTTAGGGCTTAGGGCTTAGGGCTTAGGGCTTAGGGCTTAGGGCTTAGGGCTTAGGGCTTAGGGCTTAGGGCTTAGGGCTTAGGGCTTAGGGCTTAGGGCTTAGGGCTTAGGGCTTAGGGCTTAGGGCTTA